GAGCCAAACCAAATATGAGGACGCTGATAATCAAATCAAATAAAAACCGAAAATTTTCTATTTTTTGATTTGAAAATTTAAAAACGAATAAAAATAATTTAAGAATTTATTCAACAAATCTCTATCAACAAACGACGTTCTTTGTTTATTGATTAATTATATAACGAAACCATGAAGATTAATGAGAAATTTTAAATAAAATTTTGAATAAATAAATAAATAAATTTTAAATAAAAAGTTTTTATTTAAAAATAAATAAATTGGCGCAAAATAAATTTTATGCAAGAAATTTTTTTTGCAAATTTTTAAAGAATGAAAATTAATCGAAAATTTCGTTTCGTCGACGTTTAGCACGGTGCTTCCCTAAATTATTTCCTATAATGTCAGCAGTACGACGCCATACAACGCTTTGTTATAAACATGAACCTTAGGATAATCCCATATCATATCAACAAATTAGCAATACGACGTCATTCGGCGCTTGCCATTAACCATTTATTGATCCACAATCAAGCTGAAACTATTATGGAAGTTTGAATTTAGCACGGTGCCTCCCTAATTATTTCCTATAATGTCAGCAGTACGACGCCGTGCAACGCTTTGAATGCGCGAAACGACGAATGTTCGAGTCGCAGACGCAGCACATCGTATTTTACCGCACATCGACAAGCAAAAGCACTGGCTGGCGAAGCTCCAATTAGCAAATGAATTTCCTCGTTTAAACAAATGCCTTTGACATAAATATGAAAAAGAGGGGAATTTATTCGCAGCCTTTTTTTTTTACTCTTTAAATTATTCAAATAACCATAATTTTGCAATTTTACAACTAAAGGATTCAATTTTGAATAAACTTAAAGAAATAAAACTAAATTGAAAAATTAGAAGAAAAATTGGATTGCCGGTCGGTTTTGCTTTTCAATGATTTTTCGGCAGTTTTCTTGCCTAAATGAAATATTTTTTAAAGATTTAAACCCCACGGAGAGATTTGGGAAAAAATGTGAAACATTTATGCTAAGCAAAATTAACATTTCCATCAAAGATTTTAAATTTGGCGCATAAATTGCATTGGTTTTAGAGCGATTATCTGAATGTGTTGTGTTCTTTTGCTCTATCGTAGGTTGAAGGTGGTTTTTATGAGGGTTTCCTTGGCGGGGTTCTCGGTCATTGCGGTGGTTTGAAGGTATTTGCTAGGCGAGGCAAGAATGGTGGATTCAATCGATTTTGTTGACGAGAATTTAATATTTATTCGTTTAGGAGAAAATTAGGAAGAGAGTTGGAAAAAATTTTAGTTTTTTGAAAATAAAGTTGTGGTTCTCGAAAACAGGTCCCTGTCTCGATTCTTTCTTCATTTCTCTTCGATAAAGTTGCAAGGCTCCTTTAAAAATTAAGTATATTTGCATGCTTTCGGAAATTAGTAGTGAGATATTTAAAAATAGTAATTGATTTGTGACTCGATTCGATAAAAGATGAGTAAAAAAAGGAAGACTTTGGAGAGACTAAGCTAAATTGAGATTCCCAGTTAAAAAATTCCGTCCTAACAGATATACCACTGCAATTTTGCTAACAGCATTAACACTTAGAACGAGACTTTTTCAAAAGGGTCACCTGGGATAGAAATGCACTCATAACACCACCCGATTTCGCTTTTAATGATGGATAAGCTTACTTTCGCCAAGAAACACGGGTGAAATCTGTAATTCTAAGGCTTGACCTTAGTCGAAGCAGTGCCAATCATTCTTGGCCCAAGTCCATTAATAATATAAAGAAATATAAAAATTACTTGACTTATTTGAGTACAAATTGTAAATTGTAAAACCAGTTAGCAACCAAGTAGACGAAATCCCAGCGCGGATAGCGGATAGTAGAGGTATTTTTTTTATCTTTGTGCAGTCCTTAATTTCAATCTTTTATAAAGCTAATAGAGTTAATATGACTGGAAGATGTCTCCCAAAAAAGTTACCCTTGTCTACCCTTTGATTGCCCTCATTCCTGAAATGCATTTTGCTCAAATGGTTGCTTTTATTGTCGCTGGAAATAGCATGCGTTGATTAGAGAATGGTTTTTCTTCGTTTATCACAGGAATTAAACTCACGCGCTTAATTTTGTGATATGTCACATTTCAAGCGAGAGTGTTCCAAATTGGTGAAGTCAGGAGATATTTTGAACGCATAGCATAGACAGCGTGTAGCGTATAGTTTAGTATAGTTTAAGGTGCATAGTTTTATGGGGCTGGTTGAAAAAGGTGGGCCTCTTTTTACCTTTATGTATGGTGCCAGATCGGCAGGCTTCGAAAGCCCTGTTAAAGCAGCAAAAACAGCAGCCAGACCAGTAATAAATGCACGCCTTTAAAGGATAAAATTGAATCAAGACATACTTTTCGATTATGTAATTCAACATTGGCTATCACTTTTGATGGTATGGGAATTGCATTATGAAGGAAAGGGATTCAAATGAAAGAAACAGGTTGGCAAGGATTAGGGAGAGATGGAAATTGAAATAGAAAGGCTTTAAAAAATCAGCGCAGAATGTAATTATTGGCCTTTCTGCAGTTACTTTTTTTTTTTCATATTTTTCATCATAGAGTTATATGCATATAAGTTCAAGAAATAAACGAATCATCGAATTTTCATCAGCAAGTGCTTCTGGTATTTCATCATCGAACGTTTTTTTCTTATCACAAATTTTTTAAATTTCGACAGGACGAGTCATTTTTCGGTCATTTAATAGAAAAAGTTTTATTCGGTAGTTTTTTCCTAGCGTATTTCATCATTTTCTAAAGCGCGCTTATTTTATTCATTTTTATTCATGCAGAGGTACTGCTGCATTAGTTGAAGATATATACGAATTATTTTTATCATTTCAATGGGCAGTCTATCGGATCTTCGGTAGTTCATCTCCGATAGTAGTTATTCCATGAACATCAAGGGCCATTTCAATTTTTCGCGCGATGGTAAATTATCATCCTCTGTACGTCGTGAAAGAGGTCGTTTATGGCAGGGAAGTTTTTTTAGTTTATTATTTATTGTTGATTTGGCTGCAGTTTTAAAAAGAAGAAATGGAGAATATGAATTTTTCTTTAAACTTTCATGTACGGAAATTTTTTGAGCAGTTAAGTATTTTATTTAGTTGCTTGCATATTCCTCGTTTTTAAACCCAATTAAGAATTTGTTTCGAAGTAGAATAAATAGAAACGATTTGAATAAAGCGAATGGGTTCGTGCAATAAATTAGTTTAGACGATTGATAATAGATAATTTATCTAATCGCAGCATTATGATTTTTTTTAAATTTAAAATTTAAGTTAAATTTAAATTTAAAATTTAACAGGAATCCCGTGGAATACTTTGCAAATTACTTTGTGAACATGGAAATTGAATTTATATGGGTTTAAAAACAAGCAAATACTGTTTCTCAAGCGTTTATTTATGTAAAACCAGATTAATACATTTATTTATAAAAATTATAAAAAAATTATAAAAATTATAAAATTATAAAAATTATTGTTCATCTTCTTTTCAGTAAATATAATACATTTATATAATATATTTATAAAAAAATCTAAACCAATTAATAAAAAAAAAGCGAAAATAAGATTGGTGCTTCTGGGCATTTAAACTTTGAATTCTTTTAATATCAGTTACCATATTAGATCAGATAAGATAATTAAATTCTCATAGCAAACATATCAAGTCTGTTCCTATATTTTGTTTTTGTTTCAGAATATCCACGGAAATCTTATCTCGTATAAATAAAAGGAAGGTCATGGTAAAAGGAAGATATGAATAAAATTTTATGGAATAAAATAAAATTAGGGATAAATTCTTGCAGAACATTTATTGACAGAACACGGTTTGGTAAGCGCCGCTAGCGACCCACCTCTACTTCTATCGCCAGATTACTCTCTGCCAAAAATTTCTAACCGTATTAACTGCCATCGGAGCTAGCCTAATCAGAAATGGTAAGCTCTAAATACTTTTTTTATGATCCTTTAAAATCCTCAAAATATGGTTTTTTACTTCTGAGGATAATTATGGCTTTCATTTATGCGATTCTTTCGATTCATTCATTAAAATGCTAGCTTATCATTGAAATGAAATTTTTACGAAATTAGAGATCCAGCTATTCTTCTGTTTCCAGGTAAAGCTGTGGCAGAAAATTTCTAGTGATTAGTCACCTATATCTAATGCAGTTAGAAAAGAAAAATGAAAGGTTATCAGAAATGCACTAAAAATCATCGTACCATTGTATTAATGCTTCATGTATAAAATTGCTTAATACACGTACTAATACTAATTTTTTTCATTCAGTTTTGCATCGTCGCTTCTCTTTTTCTCGATATTTTCCAGTTATCTGGTACTAAAGCTAGATAACTTGTGGTAGAGAATTTTTTTCTTTCCTTCCTTTTCTTTCTTTTTTCCACCCTTTATCTTATATGGTACCTTTCCTCACCATTTATTTGCCTTATTATCTCTCTCAGTTTTATTTCCCTATGATCGTTTTAAAAAAAAAAATAGGGAAATAGATAATTATTTCGCCGTAGATTTTTCTCTTTAATGTTTAGGTGCATTTTTTTCTTAAATTTTAAAAATTTTAAGAAATGCCGCCAAAGAAAGTTGCTCGTAAAACAACTCAACGGGGAGTGGAAATTAATGAAAAACCAGTGAAAAATGAATTTAAGACTAACTCAAAAGTATTACCAATACCCATGGAAATGGAAGAGTCTTCCGAAATGGAAAAATGTGATCAAAGTGTGATAAAAGTGGTGGTTAAAGTAAATTTTTTTTTTTAGCGCCCTTGAGCCATTTTGCTCTTTAATTGTTTTATTTTTTTGTTCTGTTGCTAAACATATTATGTGTTTAAATCTATTTAAATTTATATATCTTCCATATTTTTGTTTTCGATTGATTTAAGATTGCCTTTTTTAGATCTGAAATCTTTTTGATTATTTGAAAATGGATTTATATAAATTTTTAATTAAATATAATTATCAATTTTCAAATATTTCAGGAAATTAACAAAAATGCAGCTACGCCGAGTCTTCGGATCGGTCGAAAACGTAAAACTGCTGAAATTCATGATTCAAAATCGACATCAGGTTTATTTTTCAGTATCAAATATTTTCCAGAAGTTCTTTGGGTTGATATAAAATTCTTGGGAAGAACCGATTGACCAGTCGGTTTATTTCCTCGATGAGATCAAAGTTCTTGATCGGACTAAACTTATCATTGAAATCCAGGTGATTCATCCATCTATAATTTTATCTTCAAAGTACGCTTTGATAAAGTGTCAAAGCATGGTCAATGCTATTAGAGGGTTAAGAAAGGAGCAATACATTGGGAAAAAAATAACTGGAATGGAAATTTCTCAACAAAAATTAAAAGTATTTACTCTAGTGTGGATATATAAAATTTTAACTAATTGGATATGGAATATAATAATTTCATATTCTTTTTTCAGTCTCATCAGTTAAAGGGACTCGCACTGGAAGGATTCGACTCAAATATGAAAATTATTTACCTAAAGAATTTGGTGATCGAGTTCTTAGCTGCGGCGAAGGTGAGCAGCTTGGTCATCCTGGTAGATTAGCCACTAGAAAGCCACGTGCTATCGACAGTCTACCTGAAGGGAAAAAAATTGTGCAAGTAAGAAAAATAGCATTTATTTAGATGTCTTTTTAACAGAAAGATATTTTTAAATGATCACAATAGTCCGCATTTTTTAGAAAAATTTTCTATTGGCATATTTTTATAGGTTGTAGCAGGTGGAGTGCATTCAGTTATTCTTCTTGAAGATGGTTCAATATATACTTGTGGTATTAATGAGAAAGGTACTGCACCAGCTGAAGGTGTTGAAGCCGAGGGATCTTCTGATCACTTGGCTCCTATTATATTCGCAAATCTTATTTCACAACATGGGAAGGTAAAGCCATTAATCATCTCACGTAATTTAATTATCTTAGTTATTTTGAAAATTCCTTAAAAGAGGTTCAAGAAATTAAAAAACTTTTTAGATTTTACGATTTAATAAGGTTCGAATCCAAATTTTATTTTTTATTTTTTCTTCTTTTAACTTACTTTTATATTTATTTCTTTTATTATTTTATTAATTATTTTTCACCTGCTAGTTTTTTTAGAGAGATAAAATTGAGATAAAATTTGTGTTTTCCAGATAGTTATGGTTGCTGCTGGTGCGAGTTTTTCTGCTGGTTTAACTGACAAGGGGTCTGTTATTGCTTGGGGAAATCTACGGGTATTTTTGCTTTCGGGAGCTTTGGTTTTCTACTTTATAAAATTTCTTCTCTTGTTTATAGCTTTATTTTAATATTTTATGTTTTTTTTATTATTTGCATTTTCATACTATCGAACTTCAGTACTAATATTTGAAAATGTTTATTCATTATTAGATATTGGTTACAGGTATAATATTATTTTTAGAATAAATTTTAAATGATTTTTGTTTATTTCAAGGGATATTATTGATTCAGGGCACCTCAGGGTGTATCGAATCGCATAAAATTCTTGTTGAAATGGAAGAACATCCAGTAGTTATCATCGATCATAAAAATCGCGTCATAGTTAAAGTAAAGATTTGAAACTGAATTCTGACGATCATTCGAATTTCTTTTTTCATTGATAAAAGATTTATAATTTATTTTTCATTTGTTTGTTTACGATAATTTTGAAAATTTTTTAAAATATTGTTATATTATTTTATTATTTTGTTATATTATTTTTTTATAATTGTACCTTTTTTTTCTATGAATGGTTTTTTAATTTCAGATTGCTGCTGGTGAAAATCATTTAGTAATGCTTTCACAGTACGGTGAATTGCTCACTTTTGGTGATGGTTCTATGGGTCAGCTTGGCCGAAGTGTTCGATTAACTTCGATTCGGTCACAACAAATGGTTGATGATTCTGGTATTTCTTTATTGGTATCTGTAAAAGAGAAAAGAAAGCAGAAATTAGTGGTATTCAATGATATTATGGCGGGAGGATACTGGACAGCAGCTCGTGCTACCGATGATCGTTTATTTGTTTGTGGTCTCAATAACTTCGGACAGTTAGGCGTCGATTTACCAGAAATGGATCAGTTAGCTAAACCAGGTTCTTAAACAGTGCGTTTTGGTATTGACATGGTAGAGCTAAATTCCTCTAGTATTTAATGACATACTATTCACTTTTTTCACCCATTTTTTTTTGTTTTATATTTGATATTATCTGACTGAATTCTTCTATTGGTTTTTTACGGAAATTTTTTGTTTTTTACTGAAAATTATGAGAATATTATTTTATATTTTTCAATTTATTTTAAATTTTAGGCGAATCAGAACCTGAATTACGCATTATGCGCCCTACCGTCGCTGTTGCTTTCGAATCATACAAAATAAATCAGCTTTCTGGAATTCATCACATTATTTTATTAGACGATAGTGGTAAGGATTTCGAATTTTTTTGTTAGAAAAGGTATATTCAAATGTTCTAAATATCGGAAATTCCGTGAATTTTCCGTATTAAGTTGATTTTAATTTGTTTTTGGGTGATGTATATGGAATTGGAAAGAATACAGATAATGCACTTGGAATTGGTACATGGACTGGCAAGGATGATGATGATCACTGGAGATACACTAAACCTCAGAAAATTTCTCTTCCAAAAGCTTCAGGTGTTTGTGCTAAACTAGGATGTTCTGTTGCGTGGACGAGTGAAGGTTTTTTTCTTTAAAAAGACTTATTTTTGATTTTTGACTTATTATTATTGTTCTAAATTCCAAATTTATTCATTTCATCCTTTCCCTTATTTGAACAGTTTTTGACCAACTTTGACAAAGTAGTGTGTTACCTTTTGCCTCTGTTTTTTTAAACAATTACGTTTTCTTGCAGGAGTTGCTTATTCATGGGGATACGACACATCCGGTCAATTAGGTTTGGGTATCAAAGATGATGTTGATAAAATTGTTCCTTTTCCTAGAAAAATTACATCTGCACATCTGGATGGTTATCATATTTTAAGTTGTTCTATTGCTGATAACCATACTTTGTTCCTCGCAAAAAAAATTTGATGTTTATATTAGAAAGAAGAATCGTTGTTGGAAGTTTATTATATTATTCGTCGGTAGCTAGAGAAATGAAAAATATCCAATATCAATTTTATAAGCATAGCTAATGAAAGATGGAAAAAATACTGGTGGAGCAACTGGAGTAAATGTAATGTAAGCGGAATTAATAATTTTTGGTGTTTATGGAAGAAAATTTTTCTTTGCTCTCTTCACATTTCTTCAGGATCAGTGCTGGGATTCTATTCTTGGCAGGAACAAGCTTATTTTTTGAAAATTCAGATAATGCTGGCAATTCATACATTTATTGTCAAGTCAATCTTTTGCAAAAAGATTTGAAAAATTAGAAAAATTTAGCGTAGTATATTTCTTGTTGAAAGATACCGCATTTTTCAAAAGTACATAATGGCATTAAAGACGGATTCATAAAAAAACGAACCCATTGGCCCTAAATTCAAAAGTGCATAATGGCATTAAAGACGGATTTATAAAAAAACGAACCCATTGGCCCTAAAATAAATTTAAATTTAAGATGAAGTTAATTTCATGGATTCGGTTGTTTCTTTGGATTGCTGGGAGTACCAGATTTATTAATGTTATTGATAAAATGAAAATATTACCAGGAAAAATTACATCTAGACAAAGCTTTAGAAGTTAAAAGTTTGAAGTTAAGTATAAATGTAAGATAAATTAAATGTTTTTGCGTAGTGTTTGCGATTAAATCTTTGTTTGATCATAATCTGGAACAACAAGATGAAAAAATGGAAAGAAGTCCTAGTGATACATTAAATTAAAAAAACTAAAAATAAAAATGAAAAATAACAAATCGAGACATGAACTTTGGTAGCAATCGGAAAAAGCACTTGTATCACAGCAAAGGTAAATATAGGCAATTTGATTCCCTGTCAAAATTTGTCTGGTTTGAAAAGTTAACGTAGCAAGCAGGCGACGAGCTTTTCAAGAAAATGAATGTATATTCTCAATACATTTGTCATCGCCGAAAATTCTAAATTTTATTACTATAAATAGAATTTTAGATATGTGAGTTTTTCAGTCATAAAAATAACTTGAACGTTTAGCGATAAGGTTCATATAAGTGATGACAAATTCAAATGGTATTGGATTAGGAAAATATGGGAATCATTTGGTACTTAGCCATCTCAAAGATTTCGACTGATGATGGTGAAAACTCGAATTAAAATCGGAAATGCTAAAATGTAGTTGCCAAAAATAATTTCAGCTAAAAGCAAGTAAACTGCAAAAAAAAATGAAAAAAACGAAAAAAATGCAAAATTTGGAACATGGAAATAATATTCAATTGGACAGCCATAATTAACCAAATATTAACAAAACCTGTATTCTTCATTTTGCAGCAACTGATTTTGCAAGAAAAAAGGCATTAATATAAAAAATTAGAATTCTGAAGACGGTCCACGAAATAAAAATTTAACAAGCATTAAAAACTTACTGACATTTCTACTTACTAAAGCAAATCTAAACTTATCTATTAAAATGTTAATACGATTAAAGAAATCAATTCAGCTGCAACATTTTTCTCGGAAAAAACTTCATTTTTGATCACGCAAAACCTGCAAAAAGAACGAAATCATAAAAAAAACTAGAAAACTGAAACTGTAGTGATCGAATCCTCGAATAATATTCTATAATCCTAAAATAATGCATTTTCGTTAATCACAAAAAATATTAGGAACTAAGCATGATCTGAACAAATTGACCAGTCACTTTTTACGAAAGCTGAAATAAAAAATACTAATGAAATTATAAAACCATAGACAAATCTAATTACAATGAAAATATTACTCCAAGTAGTGCAGCTGTATTAGGTGGTAGAGTTTTGGAAGAGTTCGGAACTTGGATGACATTGAATTTGTGACGTGATCTTAAATCGTAAGCACATGGAGGTAGATGAATTTTGATGCCTGCTGATGGATAAGGTGCACATCGTATCCTTCAATATAGCCATTAAAATAAAAATAAAATACATCAGAAAAATGATAAATCGTGCCAAATTAAAATATTTAAAAATATATCAGAGTCTTAACAAAAAGAAAATCCCTGAAAGAATATGAAATAATCTTATACTATAAATGGGTCATATGGTCTCTACCAGTGGTGAGAAGAAAGGATGAAGAACTAAAAGAACTCAAATACGATGGGTCACATCCTCGACTGGAACACATTCGGAACTGTATAAAACAATTATGAATTACCAATCGATCATAAAACAATTTCTGTTTCGAAAGCTCTGGAACGATATAATCAGGAGAGATTTCGAGCTTTAGTGTACTTAAATGGTGGAAAAAGAGTGGTTTCAATTGCTTTCAGGAACGACTGGATTTAAACCTGGAAGCGCAAAAATATTCTACTCTAGATCCCACTACACCGAGCCAAACCAGTGATAAGCTGTAGCTGGTGAAAGAAATACCATAATTAATGAATAAAAAATAAAGGATTTTCACTTTTTTCTCATTAGTATTTCACCTCATTCTGGCAAATTAGAAATCATTTTAAAATGACTAATGCACACTAGTTACTTACTAACTAATTTTATACAATTAGTTCATATTCACTTCTAAGATATATAAAAAGAAAAAAGGAAGACAAAACTAACCCGGTGTGCTTTCTAGAATTATTCGATTTAATCAATGTGGGGTAAACTGAGGATACAATAACGCGCGAAATCTGCAATATGATAAATGAAAATATTTAATTTTATATTTTTAAACTTAAGAAAAATACATTTAAAATATTATAAAATAAAAAATAAAATAAAAAATCTAAAAAACTTTTAACAATCAGAAATTCATAAAAGTAGGTACTGGATGATAGGTTGATGTTACTTTTTCAATCATTTAAAACAATGATGTAACTCAGATCTCTACGAACGGATATATAGCAAAAACATCAAAAATAAAAATATTTCACTTCTTTTTTTTTTCTTCCAACAATTCTCATTATTACTGGTTAGGCTAGCTCAGCTGACTACAAGGATACGTTCCCAAGCTATTCGATCTTTTGCCATCATTTAAGTCCACGTTTCGATGATCCATCTATATCAAATGATTGTATCAGTCCAGGTCTTGATTAATTAGCCATCACAAGGTTAGCAAGGTTTAGTAAGTAACGAAATATCAACTCCTATAGTAGGGGCAACGAACGTTCCCTTATCACCGAAGGCGACATTCTATGGTGATATTGTTAATGCAGATGGTATTTCAGCTAAGGTGTAGATGTAATTACGTAAGATCTGCTCTGCCATTTACGATTTATACGATATCTACGATTTTATGCTCTGCGAACCCATAAAGCATAGACATGAAGGGTCGAATATAGATAATTTCTTAATATCCTCCACTAGCCATGTCTTACAGTCATATAACAAGAGCGAATCGCAACTAAACATGCGCAGAATTTCGTTTTGATGGTGATGGCTCCATAAAGATCAACCGGATATATGGGTAGCACTTCTTATTACCGTAATTCCGTCTTTTGCTTGGCCGTATGGGATTAAAGTGGATCCAAGATATTTAAAGATAGTATTATTTCACGACATTATTATAAATATATATTTAAATATTAAACATTGAAAGAAATGAATGAAGCGTATGATAATTCGCAACGAACAAATATTCAATGCAAATTAAATGCAAAAAAGCAACATAATAATACGTATATATATATTCTGAAATACTGCACTTTTTTAATGAAATAATAAATATTATTGAAGTTTTGAAAAAAATTTGAAAACCGCCTAAACGATTTCAATAAGCTTGTTTCATTCTAAGTAATTACTAATTACTACTATTACTACTTTTATTACTACTATTACTACTTTAAAACATTTAATAAAATAAGAGGGAAAGATCTAAATCTTTATTTTTTATAGAAGTTTTTAAGAAAGAATTTCAACCATATATTCACGTTAATGGTATTCTACGAAAAAACAAAAAGTGTAATAGTAATAATGTAATAAATCGTTAGTAAGTTAATCGGTATCAATGCTAAAATCCAAAAACAAAAATGACCATTGTATAATAACTATTAATTACAAAAATTTTCAAACCGGAGGAGGCTGAACACTGCAACGTAATCCTCGACGAAGGTAACTGCTCTTTTTAGTTCGACCTGAAGCATTCATAGGTTTGATCGGAGTTGTTGGAGAAGTGAAAACAGCGAATGATATATGTCGTTGTGCTATCGCTTTTCGCGCTAATAAACGATCCCCTTGGGTTCGACCCGTTTCATCCAGAGCATTCTATGAACAAAAAAAACATCAAATTAAAAAGAATTTAAAGAAAATTTAATATGTTTAAATAAAATATGAATTAATTTAATATGTAAAAAATATAAAATTAAAATTAAAATTCAGGGATGTGGCAAAAAATTAAAGCCAAGCAAGCACCTCTTCATTATCATCAACGGTGCAAATTCCAAGTTTCGAATTATCTTTTACTGGGAAGCAATTTGGTCTAGATATAGGATGCTCTATATCGCGGATATGTATTTCATGTACCTATAAAATGCTGCAATATGAAAAATTGTAGAATCATAGAAAAATTAGACATAGATTACAGAAAAATTTAGATTTCCTCTATTAAGAAAAAGCAGTAAATAATCCATTAAAAACTAAAAAAAATTTGAACAAATTAAATGTATTTAAAATGATCACTTTGGAAGCCAGATTTGAAGATGGGCTTGTATCTTTTCTTTTAGATTTCAATGCCCAACACCATGGTTGTTTCTCAATTAGAAATTGTTGTTGCGGCCCTAAAACGGAACCAGGTCGACAAATTCGAATCCAAGCCATACTTTCTGCTGCTGTCAATTCAAATTCCTTCATTAACCAACAAGCAATGAGTGTACCAGTGCGCCCAAGACCAGCCTGAAATAAATAATTATTTCTGATTGCGAATGTGAAAAAAAGGTATATGATATATATGAATTACTATAAAAGATTTCACTCAAGCATATTTTAAAGAACAGCGGTTACTTTGCAATGTACTGCAACACCTCCACTTGCAGCATCTACAGAATTGATGAAACGTTCTACAATTGCATCAGAAGGAGTTGTACCATCCACGAAAAACAAATCAATATGATCGAAGCCAGCTTTTATAAATCTAAGAATAGAATTTAATTTAATAGAATTTAATTAATTTTTAATAAATAATATTAATGAATATTGGAATTTTAAGCTTTTTTTATGAAAAAGATCTTCTCAAATTATTTATAAATAAAATCTCGCGAAAGAAAAAGCTCTATATTGTCAAAAAATAAAAAAATCCAACTTTCTAGCATCATACATGCGTTTATTTAATCGTATAATAGTAGTTATGCCATTTCTCCGGAAATAATCGAAATAATGTTCTGGAGAATGATATGGGTACCCTGAAAACAAATATGCATGATGAATGTAACATAAGGAATGGCACTGATTGCGAATTAACTTGAAATAATATTAAAAGCGAAGTAAAGATTAAACATTGGCTAACCATCAATGCAATAGGCCTCATTTTGCGGACCGCAAAAACTTAAGATTTTTCCAGGAATTATCCAATTGAGATCACCATTTTCCACTTTTTCATAAAATTCATATTCATCAGGATCAAATGATTCAAATGAAAGCCATTTGAAATGCAAAGCCTTAAAATTAAAACCTAATAATAAAATGAAAGCTTATGAATTCCAGAAAAAATACTTAGTTACCTTTTGCACACTACGTAGCACGTCATGAAGATGAAGCTTATAAGTTGGCGCACCCATTGCTGCATCAATAAAACCGATAAAACCATTCGAAACTGCACCGCTTAATCGTGTATAAGCCGTATCAGCAGACATGCCCAAGTAAATAATCTGAGATTTTCTAAATTTAATTCTACAAAATAAATATACACAAACAACACAATAAAAGATCTTTTATATTAATCAATACCATTCCATTTCTTTTCGCTCCTGAAAAGATCCAAAAACTTAAAGTTTATTAGATGAAAATCCATTTGTTTATTTTTCGTCCTTTTTTCCAAAACCATCGTTTGCTCAGTTAAAATTAAGAAAAAAACTATTAAGCCAAGCCAAAGAAAACAAAACTAACAGCATACGATCCAACTAAATAAGCTGTGTTTACCAATGCCTGATCCATTTTCGAACAACAAATAACAATTTTTCGTTTCCCATTAGATTTCTGCAAAAAATTTTGATATTTCAGATATTTACCATTTTACTTTTATAGTCTTTCAGTCTTTCCAAAAAAAATTTACTAAAACATATATTCGAACAAAATGACTTAAATCTTCTTTTTCATTTTTTTTTTAAATGATTTTATTTCAGTTACTTGAATTCTGATAGAAAAAATAGACATTACATGGTACAACAGGTAGAATTTACCTTTAATTGAGTATTTAATTTGTTACAAAAGCGATATAGAACAGAAAGATTATAAGGTCCGAAATCCTTGTAAAAACCATCATAATGTACATCTTTATCCGGGTAATAATACCAAATGGAATTTGTTGAGTTTGTTCGATATTCTACTGTACAGAAATATAATTGATCCGGAGATATTTCAGTTACTGCGAATTCCCTCGTAATTTTTGATAAGGCCATTTTTTATATACTTTATAAATTTTATAAGTATTGTTAATGTAAATACATAAATAAATAAAACAATAAAAAATGCTTTATTCACCGGAGTACATACCTGAAAATAATATTTGGATAAAATGCTTATTGCATGTAAATTAAAAATCGCTAAAAAAAACTGATAAAAATATGAATAAATTGATAACTAATTTATAAGTGATTGCCACCATTTGTAAGCGGCTCAGATAAGGGCTTTAGTAACGATAAAGTCATTAAAATTCTTTTATAAATTTCATTTTTTCATCATTATTAGATATAAAGTGGTGCATTTTAAAACTATACTAAACTTTGAACCACAACTGTGTAAAAAATGAAGAAATTTCACGTTAAAAATTACAAATTACAAAGCGAAAAAATTTTACAACAATTAATTGAACGTGCGATGTAAATACAAACAAAAAATTGGGAATAATGTTTGAACTATGAAAAAAATAGAATAAAATAAGTGAACAACAAAATGACGAAAATAAGAAATCAAATCACATACGTGCATAATATTCGATAAATGCATAGCATTAATTAGGAAAATTACAGTCAACATTCACACAACACGAGAAGTGCACGAGAGTCAAAGTATTGGCAAATCTCCCACAGTATTGGCAATTTCATTAATCTTATTTCAATAATTAAAAGAATCAAGCAAACAGTATAAAAAAATTCAATAATTAATTTCAGTACAATAATTTTGAAAAATCCAAGCAAACACTCCTCTCCTCATACGGATGGAAGAAACTGAAATTGAAATTGAAATAGTGCAAACCCGAACATTTGCTACCTCCTTAAAAATCGCTGCATTCTTTAATTCCTAATTCCTTTAGTAATTTTCCTCCAATTCTATTCGATTATAGAATTCTCCGGTTAGCGGCAAGGTGATTGTCACTGAGGATCGAGAATACTTCGCGTTCGAATCAGGTCAGTCATCGAAAAATTACAATATTCCAAAAAAATTGAAAGAGAAATTAGATCAATAACTTGCTCAAGGAGTACACTGGCTCAGTTGGGTATTTCTCAATTCGCAGCATCGGTGCTGAAGTTTTATTCCTCGCAGGAGTAAACCTATCCAGATACGGTTGATGTTGGCTACAAGGGATGGTCGCGCTAGTCTCTGCAATTTTAGAATTTGCAGTTTCAGAGTATTACGGGGTTTGAATTTTTATGAAGTTTTTTTCCAGATTAAATGCGAAAAAATTTCAATCTAAAAAAAAATTTTCCAGAATACCGAGAGAAAAGATAAAACAAAGAGGAAAGCGAAAACGCATTATCTGCGTTATCACTTATCAACCACCACCACCTGTCAATGAACAAAAATTCGCCCAAGCGAAAATATATTATAACAATAAAACAAATTAAAAATGGAAAGCTGCACAATTGTGTGACAGATTAGATGCCTCGGGTTATGCCGAGAAAACCCCGCCTACCCGCATTGATGTTTGCTTACATTCATGGACAAAATTTGTGGCTTTGTTTGATTTTCAGAAAGTAATGAATTTTGGTTTGGTAGCAGCTAATCGTTGGAATTAATTGTATTATCCTGTAAGTCTACAATTTAAAATTTAAATAAATCATTTTTTAGATTTTTTTAAAAAACCGTTTCCATTTTTGTTGCACCAAAGAAATTTATTTTATCCAATACGCATCAAACTTATGAATGTATCAATGAAAAATAGTGTGGTGGAGGAGAGAATACATAGATGAAGGAAAATTTAATTTAATTGTGAAGCAGTGGGAGACGCTAGGCGGTTAGAGTAGATCCTTGGTGAAGGATTAGTACGGCGTGGTATCATCAGTTGCAAGTGCCCCTCGGGAGGGAGAGCTCGCCGTTGTCTAGTAATTGGACATAGTGTTGGTTTGGCTGAGTCGGTTTGGAAGCCCCCAGGTCTGTTGCCATTCTTTGAGCTCCACACGTTAGAATCAAGGATCCTTTTTATTATAACAGTCATCTCCTCTTGGTGCGCAACCCTCATTTAATGATTAAACACTGTAATGGCAGGTCGATGAACAGCTATGAACAGCTGGAGATGAATGACTTTTAGTGATGTTTAGTTGGAGGGGCTTGGAGGGGGTAACTCCGCAATGCGAAAATTTTTTATGCGAAAAAACATGTTTATGTTATTCTTCGCACACTTTCATCTTCTTCTTCCAGTATCTCCTGGTGCATAGGATGTATGTTAGATGAGAACAGTTAAAGGCAGGAGGTAACTAGCAGGATTGTGCATGCTAAAAGTCTTACTATTGATGGAGCCAGTCATACCAGAAATAGTGAGGAGGAGAAGAGGAAATAGTGCGGCGGAAAAGGAGAATTTACCGCTTATCGTTATCTGGCAGGTCTACCTTATAAACTTTGTGTTGTAATGTAAATAATTGTTCAAAATCTAATAAATTAGAATTTTTGAATCTAAGAACATTTTTCGTTTCGTTCATCTGGATGCGAATTTCGATAATATATTGTAAATAATTAATGCTTGGTGAGCATAATTATTTTTAGGTAATTCAGCTTATTATTATTATGACTGTCGGTACTCATATAGCGGAAATCTTTCGTCAAGGCATTTGGGCATCATTAACCGGTGGTTGGTACTATGAACCATCGCATTCTATCTTTTGCAATGTCGTTCATTTGTACCTTTGGTTATTCTTGTTTATTCAACCGCTCTTATTTAGTTAGTTATTTATTTTATTTTTAGGTAATTTCGCATTTTAATTTGGCTTTTGGTAATCAAAGTAAAATTCATTCATCAGAGAATCACTGGAGAATAATGACATATGATCTCTAGTGATTTGGTAAATATGATCTTCCATCACTTTGGGAACTGAAAGGGGAATTGCTTTATTCATTCATATAGTTTAGCCTATTTAGCCTAGTTAAATTTTAGTTTTCAACAGTTTATTAAAAGATTGATATTTACCAAATGAATAGTAATTATTCGTATGCAAATATACTCTGGTACCTCTCAGGTTTCGATTTTAATGACTGGTTTATTCCGGTTAGGAAGTTGTATTCACCACTCATACCATACATACCATACTATTTCCTAGTTGAGTTTTATCGCTCAGTATTTACTTTTAGCTTTATTTATATCTCAATGAAGAATAAAAATAAGTGAAAGAAATGAATAATTAATGGGGTTTGTACTATATGATCATATTGATTCATATACGGCTGACTCGACTAGTGAAAAGAATTAAGCAATGAGGATTAATTAGCAACAACAAATATTCTTTTAAAGAAAGTCATGCAGATTCATGCAGGAGCCGCCTATATTTTTAATGTACCCGCACAGTGTAAAATTAATAAATTAATAAATCGAGCTGGATGATGCTGGAATATCTGTTAGATTGAAGACTAGTTTAAATTTTAGTTTGTCTTGGCTTTATTTATAGGTGTGAGTTAAAATGAAAATGTTCCAAAAAGACATGGTGAAAGAGTTAAAAATAGTTTTAATGAAGAAATCATTTTTACATTTTTTAAATATTCCTTACAGCATTACGATTCATTTATAAAATAAATATATTCTCTAAGCAATTTAAAAAATTCGATTAAAATGTTAGTTTTTTGTTTTCGATTGTTTGAGTATTTACTTGAATACGAAATGTTTATTTTTGTTAATTATATAAACATTTATTCGAGAAAAAAAAAAAAATTTGGCATAAGAATAGAATAATGTTACAAAAAAGGTCAACAGATTATTTTATCTTTTCTTAGTCGATTGGAACAATTTCCTAAGCTTATTCCAAAGATTATTCTGTAATTGCATTTATTTGTTGATAACGTTTATCTAAATTTGCGAGAAAACTTTAAGCCGTCGTATATTATAGGAATCAAAGGTCGAACAATAGACAGAGGTAGAGATGGAAGCCAGATTATGGTCTTCAACTTTAAAATGTGCTCTTTTAGGATTATTTCTTTTTTAATGTTTTTAAAGATATTTTAGGTATTTTATGTACGAAATCAACATCATTTGGCTTGATTATCGCTTATACAAGTTTGGTGACAACTGTTTTTTTATTACTTAAATTGATTGTTCTATATTTGCATAATTTATTCGATACGACAAATCCATTACCACAACCAATAAAAAAAACTTCAAATACGGTTCTTTTTTCATTCTTTATTTTTGAATTAATTACGAACCCTACGAATAATATAATAATAACTATTTAAATGATATCGCACATGACTGTAATCCATCTTCGCTCAACTACCACCTATATTAATAATGTTATCATAGCAACGCCTTCGTTAGTTAGGGCACGTTCTTCGTCATCCACCACAGGAGTTGACGCATATTTCGCTATTTGCGAAACCCTGCGATGTTTGGCGTCAAAAGCGAGGAGGACCAGTCAAAACCTGGACTAATACAGTCAGAAAAGGTTTTGAACGTATAGGGGGACCCGCGATATATGGATTTAGGCGATGGAAAAAGAAATCGCTTCTATTACTAGCAATGGCATTGGATCGAGCAGCTTTGAGACGTCTTACCCTTGTAGCCAGTGGAGTCTAACCAGTAATGATGAGAGCTGTTAAAAGAAAAAAGATGTTGCCGATATTGTTTAACTTGTTTGATGCTTATATAACTTAGTTAACATAAAAAATTATCAAGGACGATATGATAAGATGGTATGATAATATGATAAGGTGATATTGTTAGGAAAACGAGCTAATCTCTATTTTAAATCTTTGATGGTTCTCGTATTATAAATGATCAACAAATCTTAGTTTCACTTTATTATTATATAGATTTTAAAACAACATAGAATTATGTCCATAGAAATATTTTCATAGAATTTCATAGAAATAGTTTAGTTTTAATTCTAATTTAATTTAGACTGCAGAAGTTTCATTACGAACAGCGTTTATGGAGAAACTCGATGGAATTGAACTGGTTGAAATGAAGGTTGATAGAAATGTTGAAGAACTTGGTGAAACTGAAGTTCGTTCTGCACGAAATCGTCGTTATGTAAGAATCGATGATGTCGTTGGTCCCGTTGGTCAAGCGGATCTTCATTATACAAAGGTTATTTTCATATCAAATTACTTTTGTTTTTAATTTTTCCTATTATGTTTAATTCTATATGTTCTATAAATTATTCATTTCTAGCAGATCCCTTTATAGAAAAATCCTTATCCTTATTGACTGAAAATTGAAATTGAAAAAGTGGATTAAATTTTAATATATATTACTATTTGGAGGAAGAATGGGTCGAAGAGGGAAGTAGCAATCGTCATTCTGAACGTAGTTTACTTGGACGAACTGTAAATTCTTCTCTACCTACGGATAGCTTCGAAATATTACCAATTAGAACACGGTTCTCAAATTTTTCCTTTGAATTTCTTGGATTAAACATCTAGCAAATTTTATATTTTTTTCAGTATTTTTTTCTAATTTTTGCTATAAATATTAATATATTAACCTATTTGAGTACTACGTCATATTTATCATTAATTAAAGAAGTTTAGTTAATAATTCAAAAACTTATTCAACGAAAAAATTAAAGACGTCGGTCAGAAATTGATGACCATCTTCGAAGTGCTATTATCAGAAAATATTCGGAGCCATGTCTAGAGGATCCTTATCGATGGAGTCATGTTCCTAGGCGTAGATTAAGTGATACGGATCCATGCGTTAGAAGAGCAAAATCAGCTTTTGAAACCACAGATAGAATGGCTGGTGCTAGTGGTACTATGTTGAGTCAAAGAACTTTGGAAGAATGCAAAAAAGTGTGCATTATTGATAATTTTTTATTTCATTTGTTATATTTCTAATTGTTTCTTTTAATTATTTCTAATTGTTTGCCAAAAAATTCTATTGATTTCTATTCTTTCTTTTTTTTTGGAGGTGTCAAGGAAATCCTATCCTTCAAAAATGAGTAGTACCGCTGCATTTTTGTCTGCTGCATTTGCCAAACGTTGCGGTTCATCTTACGATATTGTTCAAAAATCGTCCGTTACTACTGGTATATGGTTCACTATTTGTTTTGTCAATATTTTAATTATTGTTTTTAATTATTTTTCGATATTGCTGGAAAATAATTTTATCGAAAAATAATGCAAGAAACAAATTTTTAGAACAAGAAGGTAATCGTTTTGGGAATTCCGAACATTTTTACGACGATGAAGATGAGGAAAACGGAAGTGAAGCAAAAAAAACAGCGTCAGAAGAAGCTTCATGTAGTCAAGTTAGTTAATTTGCTATCTCTTTACTTTTTATCTAATACTTTTTGCAATAATTCTTCTGATTTTCTTAATGGTTCTTGATGTTTGATGGGTTGATACGATTTTTCCTTAATTTGAAGGTCGAAAGTATGGTTAATGAGATAAAGGATATTGAAAGAAATGCGAGCTCGGAAATTAATTTTGAGGTTTGCGATTATTCTACAACATCGGATCAAAATGCTATAAAATTGTAAAATATTCTTTTAAATATATATTGTAGACTATGCCGGATTCAAAAACAGCAGTGGAATCGTCAGGAAGTGGTTGGAGTCCAGTGTTTGTTTCTCTCGGCGATGCGAATATTCCATCGACTAGTGGAATTGATCGAACTTCAGAAAGAATTGTTCGAAATCACATTTTATCTTCAAATGGTATTTTTTTTAATATTTTTCACAAAATAACTCTTATAAATAATTCTTTAGTTGATAATCAACATAAGAAAGAAAAAACCGCCCATGTTATTATTTCAGTAGGCTATGGATCTGACAAAATAGACTTGAAAGGCGAAATAACAAAGTTCCTCGAAGAACTGATCGACAAGCATCCCGAAACTCTTGATGCAATTGAAAACGTTCGCATGAATCGACTTGGACGTATGCCAGCCTCAACAATAAATTTATCTGCCTCGTCATCCAGACCTTCAGTTTTAATGCATCAAAGGTTTTACTAGTTTTTGAAAAGCAATGGCTTTTTCAATTTCGGTTAGAATTTTGGACAGAAAAAGACTTTTTTTTTGTCCAAAGTCCAAGATTCCTGGGTTTATTCCATGTTATTTATCGGTAACAAACCTTATCATTAAAAATAAAATTCTGGTGGTGCTTTTGGAAATAAATTGTTTTGAATATTTAAACGTAGTTTAAATTTAGATCAGCAGATCGAAAATTATCGACAGTAACTAATTTATCGAATATGGCTCTCAAAGATGGGACGCATATTGCTGTCGATCATGAGGATACATCTGAAGGAGCAATTCATTCATTCCAGGTAATAGTTTTGATTAGAAATTTCATAGAATTTTTAGCAATTAATTAGTGATTTCTACCGAATTGTGGTCTTTGTCATTTTACGTCAAATTTAGGACGAAGATGGTAACTGGTGGACCTATGCCTTTAGTTCTCATGGAGGAGGCACTGCTCATGCTCTTGGAAGTAGCAGAGCGTTGATTGAAATGATTAAACACAGTAACACTGCATCTCTTCATACGGTTACCTTAGCAACCTTTTCATCTTAATCGGAATTCAAAAAAATTATTATCATCATATCTTTATATCCTAATTTCAGAAATTGTCGGTTCTTCCTGAAAGCAGTTCAGCCTCATCTGAAGATTCAGATGTTGATCGTCCAAAACCAGGTGGTGAAACAACTGGCCGAGACTCTAATGCTGTTGAGGGACGGCATCAGCGTGCATTATCTTCATCGTCGGCTGAAAGTGGAACTTATATAGCCGATCAACCATCTGCAATTTTTCATGCATCGAGTTCAATACCCACATCGCGCTTAATTGATCGCGAAAGGTGCAGTTTATTATCTGCTGATAATTCTCGTATTTTCTGTTCTTCTAAAACATAAACACGGTCATATTGATATATACCATTTATACTGAATTATCCATAATTTGATATGGAAATGGTAAATTGCAAAAAATAAGTTTGCAAAATAAGTTAATGGTCTGAAACAATTGAATACTCGGTTTTTTAAAATTTTCTAATTTCTAATCACTATTTCGAACGTTTCATATATTTCAGTAATTATTAACAAAAATTAGCAATTAATGAATTTAACTGATTTGACTAGCAGTAATTTTTTTAGGCAGATTGTTACATTTGCTAATGTAGCAGCTCGGTTGCGCGGTGCCACATATCATAGATCGCATGCTGCATCAATTCGCGTTGAAAATTTATTTGAAGAAGAACAGTCAGGAGGTATATATATTTTTATTCAAATCTTATTTATGTTAGTTATGAATAGTTTATTTATTAACTGTATATTTTTTGCTTTAGGCTTCGAGTTATAAACGTAGGTTTAATTTGTAACATTTTTTAATATTTCCAATTTGTAGGAAATAACGAAACGATTCGAATAGGACATGCTGAGAGACATGTTAACGATTTGAGGAGTTCTCGTGCAGGACGTCATAGGAATTCTATTTCTTCGATTCAAAGGATTCCATTTATTTCCGAAATAACTGCAATGGGAGGCGCAATAATTGGCCAGTCTCGTGGAGTGAATAATACGAAAAGGAATCATTATTACCGTTTAAAAATGTTTTCATCTGCTACTGGAGGCAAAGGAATCAAATTACAAGTAAGAATTGTTGATTTTTAATTCATTTTGGTCGAATTTAGTTCGAATTCTCTATTTTCTGGAAAATTGAAAATAAAAAAACTAAAAAAATTTGCAGATGGATCGTCTTTCCGTTGCAGCACTTTTTGACCGAAATAGATCATTGTTGTCCTGTTTATTCGACGTTGTCCTTGCAGCATTAATTTCTATCTTAGCCGGTTTATTGCTTTCAAGAGCAATCTTTTATGATGTCTCTGTTATTGTATTTTCAGTTGTTGTCGCTGGAACTCATGTAATTTTTTTTCTTTGTTTGGTGTTTGATAAATGTGCAATATTTTGAATTTTTTCAAATATATTTATATTTTATTTATATAAAAGTCCTCTTTTCATTTCCTTTTGCTCATGGACTTTGACAGGAAAGGAGAAGATTGCGATTCGAGCCGTTTTTATTGCATTCCAGTTTAATCACCAGCTTTCGCCACTACATTGTTCCTGAGCTTATATGAATTTTTTTATTTTTACTTTTTTTTCGTATCGAATCTTATTAAAATTTCGATGGTAAAAAGTAATTATTAAATTGAGCTTATAATTTATAATTGCTGTTGGTATTAGATGAATTTCTTTTGCAGTTTTCTTTATTGAAAAGCGTTCAGCCGGATGCATCTTCTCCAGTTCATGGGTTCAACTGGCTTATTGCTTATTCAAGACCACTTTTATTTTGTTTATTAGGTGGAATGTTATTGCTGATGGATGCAGGCTATTGTGAAAAGTATTTGCAAGAATTAGTTGGATGGCAGTGGAATCCATATCGTATAAGAACTGTATCTATTCATACAATTAGTAGCGCGATTCGGGATTTGTTAGCAATTTTTTTGCTTCTTTCACCGATTGCTTTCACAGTTGGACTTATTCCTCAGGTTAACTGAATTAATAGCATTTTTAAATGATGTTTTTGATCATCAAAGAAATTTCAGTAAAATTGAATTTTAGGCAAATACACTTCTTTTGCACGTTCTGGAACAAATCGAAATGCATGTTTTCGGTGGCACCGCGTGTTTTTCTCTACTTTCGGCTTTTCTACAACTTGCTAAAAGTATCTTTGTTCTCAGTATTCTCTGTTGTTTGGCTCATATTGCCCATCGTGCTGACCCGCAAAATACTCAAAATATTTTATTCTCTATATTTGTTGCTTCTGGTGTTGCTTTATCTTATATCTTGTCAAGGTAATTTTTTATCTTATTTGGATAATTTGTATTTCTTTGATTGGAAATTTTGCTTCATTATCTTAAATCTCAATTTAAAATAAAATTAAATGTTAGTCTAAGTCATAAATTCAATCTAAAATTAATTAGAAAAATTATTATTAAGAAAATGCTTATATTTTTGAAAAACACTTATGCTTGATTAAGAAGTTTTAAATATTCATTAATCATTCATATACATTTTGATTTTTTTTAAATATATAATTTATCTTTAGATGTTCAAGTAATCCAGCATTAACCGCATTAAGTTTGCGGTCTTTACGATCATACTGGTCGTTATCATCGAAAAATATTGCTCTTTCACAATCTGATTCCAACTACACTCATTCAAATTTAGAAGATAGTGATAATTTCCCAGATGAAGTGAAAGTTTTAGTTGGATGTAAAGTCCGCCATGATATTTTTATGTTTCTTATTTTTTTGCTGCTGTTTTTCGGCCTTCATTGCACATCTTTATTCACAGCTGCTCAACCAATGTTTCAAGTTATTATTTTATTTGTTTGCTTTTTCTTAAATCAATTTAAAATATTAAAAAATTATTTGTAATGGTTTTGAATTGTAATAGAAAAAAATTATATTTAAATTATTTAATATATTTAAAAATTAATTAATTTTATACAAATTTATTCAAAATATTCAATATTCAAAATAAATAGAAAATTTTATGTTTAGACTTGCTTATGTTGCTCGTGTTTTACTTTTGGAATATTGAATCATTATTTATATATGGAATTACGAAGAGCCAGTCCTTGGAGATTAATTGCTCATCCAGTTTTACGTGCATTTGAATTTGTGCAATATGAATCAACTTTTGCTGCGAAGCTCATGCCTTTTGAAATCATTCATTTTTATATGCTTCTCTCCGAAAAAAATATTGTTCGTTTTAAATTTCAGATTGCGACATTTGTTTCCATATAAATATTCACTGAGTTCACATTCGCAATATTTACTCTCTTCTAGCAGGAAGAGGTCCTATGGTTCTCACTTCTTGAGTCTTATTTACCCCTTGAGAAAACTCGTTAAAAACAAAATCTTGGTAGCTCTAGCTCGCTTGTAGTTCCATCTCTATTAGACTTCTGGTGGCTGGATTGTAGCCAGTAAAGCCAGCCAAGCTAGAGGTGGTGCCGTTTGAAAAAGAAAAGAAACAAGCTTGAGAAGTAGACTTAAATCTCCAAGTTAAAGATCTTTATCACATATTATATAATCTGAGAAATGGCAATAATGGCAATATCATTTTCGCTTATTGCTTAATTTTATAAGCTACCAAAATAAATATATTTAATATCTAAAATATTAAAAGCTCGATTTCGATTTTTAGCTTTATCCGCTATTTGTTATTAGTTCGGTATCGATAAATCGTTGGGCATTGCATCCATACTTTATTGCACTTTTTTTCCAACGAATTCTCCGCTCATCATTTTCACAACCACAACTACTTTATATTCCTGTAATGCTTTCGTTTTTACTCACTAAATTTGATTTGTCAGCCATCGAACAGATTGATAACTATTTCCCGCTTATTTTATATATATTTGCACTAATATGGCCAAAAATTTTGGAATTTTCATTAAAAATAAATTTCATCGCAGCTTACGTAGCTCCCTGGCAGATCAGGTACGGATTTTAGTGTTTTTCTTTTGTTTTTGACTTTTGACAATTTTTTTTTAGATTTTGAGATGGAGCTAAACAGATTTTATTAGACAATTTTATATATTTCAAGAATTGGCATCACTGTTATTTCAGTTGGGGTTCAGCTTTTCATGCATTCGCACAGCCGTTTAGCGTACCACATACAGCTGTTATATTCTGTCAGACTTTAATTTCATCTATTATATCAGCTCCATTAAATCCATTCTTAGGTTTCTTTTTTTGTTTTTGAGAATTTTTTATCAATAATTTAAGTAAATTGAAATACTTTTCATTTACAACTGATATGAATGAATTTTTTGGCTCTTTAAGTAACCATATTTAATATTTTAAAATATTTCTAAATAACATTAAATAACAAAATATTTTTAAATAACATTGAATCCAGTGGAATTCTGTATAAAGGACGAAAAACTTCAGGATCGTCTTTTTTTCTTACATCATATATTCGTACAGTAAAATTCTGGGAAAAGGATTATAATACGAGGCGAGTTGATCACTCGAATACGCGGTTGATAGCTCAGATTGATCGAGGTCCTATGGTGGATGATAGCAATTTAAATGCTGTTTTTTATGAACATTTAACCAGATCGCTTCAATTATCATTAGCTGGAGATTTAATTCTTGGTAGATGGTCAACATCTGTGCAGCCAGGGGATTGTTTTATTTTGGCGAGGTGAAATCGCTGTGAAGCTCTTTTTTGAATTAAAAATCTGACAATATTTTCCAACAATATTTTTTATAAAATTTTGTCAAGCCATAAAATTTATTTATAGTTATTATTTGAATTGTCTGGTTCATGTGATCGAAGTGGGAAACGGTTTTATTACATTTCAACTTAGAGGTCTTGAATTCAGGGGAACGTATTGCCATCAGCGTGAAGTTAGTCTTTTTTGTTATTTGGACTCAATTTTTATTATATTATTCAATTTTCAATTTTCAATATTCAGTTTTTATTATATTATTTTATATATTTTTATTGTATTATTTTATTTCCTTAGAGATTCTTAGAGAAAATTCTTTAGCTGAGGCATAGCGAGTTCCATTAGCTTTTCCACAGTTATCGTAGAATCCTCATTATTTTCAAAATAAGGGGATATATGCGTCAAATTGCTTTAATTATTTCTTATCCATATTGCAAAATTTCATGTAAACTCTCCCAATGGCTTAATGTTTACAATTACCAATCGCTTTTCTTAACCAAATAAATCTTCTTAAATAAATTAATTAATTCATTTCAAAATTTTTAATTTTATTGGTTGGCTTGCTAACTGGATGCAAATAGTATCATATTATTATCATAAAGATACAAGATATCTATATCATCATACCATGGTTATTCTATAGTAGTTAATTCTGTTGATGATGAATGTCGATTTTTTTTTATTCAAATCATTGTTTAATTGGCTTTTTTAATGTTATTTTTAGGTAGAGGCAATTAGTGAAGATGTTAGTGAAGGAGCGGGGTGCTGTTGTTGCTCTCCAGGTTCATTACCCGGGATGCTTTCCTTAAATCGTGCTTGGGTGCTGCGATGGTTGGCTTGGGAAGTGGTTGCAGCTAAATATATCGTCGATGGTTATTCTATTACAGATAATTCTGCTGTGAATCTTCTACAGGTTTACTCGCTTTTGCATTTCCACATTCTAATGATATTGGGCTATCTCGAATGTTGTTCAAATCAAACGCATCGTTATAGGTGCATGAATTGCGACGTTTGCTTATTACTCTTTATGTTAAATGTATGATCTATTATGCTTTGTCATCATGCAAACTCTCCCAGTGGCTTCGTACGCCAACAATTGTAAGCTTATTAATTTGTTCCTTTATCATCTATTCTGAACTATTTTTTATCATCTATTCTGAACTATATTTTTTTGTTATGTGGATTAAATATGTTCTTTATCCATTTTATTCATTTTCGATGGTAAATTCAAGAATATAGAAATTATAAACGAGTTTTTTCAGTTTAAGGGTAATTTTAAATCTAGTAATTTTAAATTGACCCTTGAATTTAAAATTTTTTGTATGAATGTATTCTGAAATGATCAGTCCTATATACGATATTAGAACTTTCAATGTTCATTATAATTCAGTATTATTCAGTATTAAAGAAGATTTCATTGGATTTCAGATAGCGGCACTTCATCCAATTGAATCATCGGGTCGCCCTTATGTTGATCTCGACCCTATATTTGGTTCTGCAAATGATGAAGATTTTGATATAACTTTGATGGTAAATTTCCAAATCAGAACAAAATAAATTTGTCTTGATAATTTATTCTTTACAATATATTACGATTTATTTTATTGCCGAAAGCCAACGATGCTGAATCTTTATTCACTAAAGGAATTTTAGGGTATATCTCGATATCGCTTCAATGATTTGTATGAACCATGGATACGGCATTGTATTCAGCAGCGTTTGTTTTCCGATGATCCAATGTTAGCATTTTTTTTTTTCAAATCAGCATATTAACAAATTTCTCAGTTTATTATTTATAATGCAGTTTTTCAAATAATTTTCAAAACAATTCAAGAAGATTCGTGATTTGGAGATTTGTTTTAATTAGATTCTTTAAAGAGATCAAGAAACAGCCAGTAACTTGCGTCTAATCACTGCATTTTGTTTTGCACTTTCTATAGTAGGACGGCGAACATTGGCATCAGCTGCTCATAATCGTCATGCAAATGCTGCCGAATCATTTTTATATGGTCTTCATGCCTTATTCAAAGGCGATTTTAGGTTAATTTTCGCATCAAAAATAACATAAAACTTTTCAAAATTTTTTAAAAAAAAATTCCTTGGTTTATTCTTAATTCTTTAAAGGATAACTTGCCAGCGTGATGAATGGGTCTTCGCTGATATGGATCTATTACGTTTTGTGGTGGCACCAGCAGTTCGAATGGCCTTGAAGTTACATCAGGATCATTTCGCTGCTGGAGATGATTTTGATGATGCGGATCTCCTTTATCAACGTATTACACAGCATTTATCCAAGCTTTTTATTTCCCACGAAGTATTTTTTTTATATTTTTTATATTATTTTTTATATTTTTATATTTTTAATTTTATATTTTTTATATTTTATTTTTATATTTTTTAATATTTTTAATTTTTTAAGGTACCATTTCAGATATTCTTTTTCTATATTATGAATCGCTTTTTTATTTTATTACTTATAGATCATTATTAATTGGTTTTTCAGCATGATCCAGCGTGGCGTAAGGCAATAATATCAAATACACCATCACTGCTTGCTCTTCGTCATATTTATGACGATGGTCAAGATGATTATAAAATTATTATGCTTAACAAAATGCATCTGAACATGAGGTTCATTTCTTATCGAACTGTTTGAATAATGAATTCTGCTTTTTATTTTACTTTTTTGCTTTGCCATTTTTTATCGTAGTTCGCTGTTCAGCGATCAAACTTTAAGGTTCTATGGTTTTTTCAGAATAATAAAATTGAATCGTGAATGTGTGAGAGCTTTTTGGGCTGGTCAACAGCAAGAATTAATCTTTCTCAGAAATCGTAATCCTGAACGGGGTTCAATTCAAAATGCTCGTCAAGTCTTGAGGTAAAATCAAGCAAGCATTATTTTTCTGTATTATCTACACAATTTATTTTTTTAAGGATTTGTTAAATCACTAATAACTTTAAGGAATATGATAAATAGTAGTGCTGATCAACCAATCGGTTATCCTATCTACGTTTCGCCATTGACAACTTCTTTTGTTGGTACCCATCCTCAGATTCGCACTTTAATTGGTCCTCCTCTTACTCCAAATTTGATAGGAAGATTTTTCCATCGTATTTGGTCATCTGTGCGCTCACATTTTGGCACGAGTGGCAGTTCCAATATACCATTTTCCGTAAATTTCCGTTCTTTTATTCGAATGACAATTATTCATGCTTTTTATAGCCAAATCACTATATTGAATATAACAGCATATATAACATTATAACATATGTCTTGATATGTTATAATGTATCTCTTGATTTTTGGACTTCAAATGAAGACTGTAGAATGAATTGCAGATAAATTGATCAATTTTTTTTTTTATAACATATCTCTTGATATGTTGCTGTTTCTTTAAAAAATTTCTCTTTAAGGGTATTAATTTACCGCATACTAGTGGATTTAATCTCATCACGCGGCGCAATGAACCACAACTTGCTTCTTTAGAGCTTCGAACTGTTGAAAAATTCGCTGACACAGCTTCTGGTGATTCTTCATCCAATAGAAAACAACATGATTCAGATTTGCCTGTTGTCCCTATTCATGTATGTTATATATTATAAGCAGGATTTAAGTTGTATTAGATATATATCATATGACCATGCGATGTTTTTTTCTGAAATGAATTGATTATTTGAGAAAAAAGCTGCATTGTTCGATTATTTTTATTTTTTCATCGACTGAACTATGCCTTCTGTTTTAGCAAGAAAATAGTATAGTATCTGTTGGTGCAGATGGGATTCCAAAAGTGGCTTTATGTCGTAGGAAGCGTTCTTGTGATTCCTTCGATAGCATGTTGTTTGAATCACCACATTCACAGAAATTTTCTGAAAAATTCGCCAAAATTATTGATGTAGAACAGGTGGTTTTTTTCAGAATGGCAATAATCTTTTTCTTATAATTCGTGCAAATTCTTAAGTTTGCTATATTTTTAATTGATATTTTCATTAATATTATTAATAGGCTAGTTTAATAGCACAAATATATTATGACTAAATCGATTTAATCATTTGTTAGGTCTTCACTTGTCTTGATGAACCATTGAAAGCTACGGGTGAGACGCTTGTCGTTTGGCCCAATGCTGGGTGGCGATTGTTGGGTGGACGTAGCTCTTGGGAATGGATGCCATCTATTGGTTTTAAAGGTAAAATCGTGCATAAATGGGTCCCATTTCATCCTCGACGTGAATGTCGATCACACGCTGGCGTCATTTATTTAGTTAGTTTTCATTTTATTTTTCTTTCTATTTGAATATTTTCATACTTATTAAATGCACTTTTGTTATCATTAAGATTTTTACTTATTTTTTAATGAATATTCCAATGTTTATATTCAGCTATATATCAAAGAAATGGGTGGTTGTTATGTTCCAGTCGGTGAATCTGGAATTGAAATTATATCGAAATCAGAATTTAATTAATTCACGACTAAATGGACGAGACACCGTAAGCGAACGTGACAAAACAGAAATAATAACGGAAATTTTGGGCTTTCGGTTTTTTGGAATGGATTTTGGATATTTTGGATAATTTTCATAATAGAATTGTGTTTCGTCCAAATTATTAGATGTTTAAATACGAATCGATAAGTCTGGCACAAAACAGCATATATATCCAATTTACTGCGGACGCTTGAAAATATCGTAAAATAAAATTCTTCGCTTAATTTTTATGTTTTTTAATTTTTCTTTTGAAATAAATGCATTTATTTTTCGCATTAACTTCATTCTTAGCGTTCAGATATATCATTCACTAGATTTAATCGTATTGTTTAATGAGATTATTTTGAGATTTATTTATTCCTTGATTAATTAGCTTCTTCTTCCTTTAGCAACATTCACCATTTCTTTGACTGACTGGGAGGATAAGACTCGCTCCTTATTTTATTGGAGAATGGAAAAAGTAGATGGATCACCTTGATTTCACTTTTCAATGATAAATTATTTCATCCTTTTATCCTTCAAAGAACAGGGATGGCTTATTCATAATGTATGAATCTTAGCCATATTGTATGGTTAATATGCCAGGGAGTTCCATCAGAGTTCTATCACGACAGAAGCACAGGTGAATCGAGAGCAAATCTCTTCCCATCCTTATTTGGTTAACCATTTTTCCATTATTTTGACCAAGTTTATTTCATAATTATTTTAGATTAAATTAATTAGTTCGGAAATTAAGTAATAAATGTAATAAAATACGTAACCTTGTATTGCTTAACTGTCGTTTATTTTTTCTTGATTTCCAAAAATAATTTTTTTATGGAGTTTCTAGAGTATTTCAAATTCTTCCAGTCTAAAAAAGATAACCAAGCAGTTCAGGAGTAACAGTTCAAAACCAGGAGATCCGTACAATGAAAATATGTCGGCTGCATAATTATACTATGGAGCTTTCAGAAATTAAAGGGTTAAATCTTAGGAAACGTTGGTTTTCTAAGGTTTGATTTGATTGGATTTTCAAGATAAAAAAATTTGAATAATTTCAGATTAAAAAATTCGCTTTGATTTGCAATAAACAAATTATTTTCGAGCATATAATTATCAAAATTTAATAAATAAATCGAAATGGACTTAAAATAGAATTTTTTAATTTTTTAGAGGTAAATGATGCGTATTTGTTAAATTATAATCATATGTTTCCTAAATGAAAATTACTTGAGTTTTTATTTTTCTAAGCCAAGCGATTCTACGAAATTGAAAATTTACGACTTAATTTCTTAAGATTTTTGCGGACTTTTATTAAAAGTTTCAGGTTTGAGTTTTTAAAAAATTACCTAAGTTTTAAAATTCGATTAATAAAGATCGCTATAATTCCACTTGTAATGCACACGCAGTGTTATGAAATCCGATAATGCATTCTTTTGCAAAAAGATTTTGTATGTGTTTTTGATGTATCTTTGCTTTCTCTTTATCTCTACGAAACGTTGAATGACTGTTTTGTTTTGCTCCAACTTAGTTCAACAATATAATGGTTTTTTGACGGAAGTAAGCCTATAATTTATAAGGGCGAGCGGGAGGTGGTGGTGACCAAACTAAAGAGGCTTAGCGTTGCTGGAGTCAAACAAACCAGAAACGACGTCCGCGAGGCATTTCTATTTTAATTTATTTCGATTTCTAAACATTTTTTAAATTTCTCTCACTTCTGTCACATAATAAATGATGTTTTATTTGCCAATAAAACTATTCTTGATGATCGATCTCAAATATGGTACTATTGGCAGGGAGTCGGTGAAAGCAGCGGATCTCCAGTAGCGTCAATGGCGGGTTTACTGCTAGGCTGGGAGGTGCTTGAATTATGACATTATCTTGTGTTTTTGAGTTGCGGAGTGGTTACGCTTGGTGTCGGCAACTACATTTTATTGAAACAGTAGTAAATTTGATTGCAGTACAAAAATATTGTCTATAGCAGTAGTATTGTAATATAATATTGATAAGATGGATGACACAGCAGAGCCAGATTATAATCGCATAGACGATTTAACTTCTTGGTTTTGACAAAGAGATAGTAGTAGTTATTTAGAAAGAAATAAATTAATGGATTGATGGATCAAATGGACTGAATTTGGACTCAAATAAATTTAGGGACAAGGATATTACAAATTTGAGACGGTAATCCGAGCAAAGCCACTCGCATCTTAATGATCAATAGTGATTGGATAAAATTTATCAGACGAATACATTTTGCAAAAAATAAATATTCATCGATATTGCCACTGCGTTTTTCTTTTCGTTTGCTTTGCTTATCACGCATGAAACCAATAAAATCCCATAATCTATTTCAGTAGATTTCCTCTTAGATGCGTTGAAAGACTTTGCAAATACGCAGAAGGAAGTTGGATATATTGGAAATAATGTCTAATTAGGGCTCATGGGAGCAGTGTGCAGTATTATTTCCACCCTCTAGCTTGCCATATTTATATTATTTTATCCCCTTACATACACAACACTTGCTATTGAAATATATGTGCCGATTTATTTTCAAATATCTTTTCATCAAATACCAATTAATTGGTTCTTATTTCGAATAATAGATTATTATTTATTAGTCGAAATAATTCGTGAATAATTATTTCCTATTTTAATTCCTTCTTTTCCTCTTCCATTCCCTTCTTTTGCAACGAATTTATTGAACATTTTTCTCTAAAAAATTGGTTAATTAATTCAATTTTAAATCACTATGAATGAGCAATTTTTGGTGATGAAAATTGGCTTTCTATTAAATATTATTTAATTAAATTGTTCACTACTACTTCCTTTTCATTCAAATTTTTTTATTTTCTATTTTTTATTTATTTTAAAGAAGAAAAGGAAGAAATATTTATTTATTCGATAGTAAAAAACAAAATAAATATTGTAAATTATTAACCAAATTAATTTTTAAAATTAATTGTTAACATAAATTAACAAAACAAATATTAAAAAATGCATACATTAAATACTTTTTAAAAAGCAAGAATAGGTAAAAAGAATAATTATTTCAGTGTTCGGCCAATTTATTCCAATAAATTTCCAATAATTTATACAAATAAAATGAAAGGACAACTGAATATCTCAACGTGGTATAGCATTTTGATTTGATTGATATATTTCATTTGATTTAGAATTTCAGTCCATTTGACCTGGTAACGTTTGTAAAATGGTAAAATGGTATTAACGTCTATCACGTCCAACTAGGCCATATGTGATAAAGGCCATTTTATGCCCATTCTACAGCGATATTGTCAGATATCCGAAAATATCACTCAGTTCAGCAAATTTTTAGTTTCGGAGACACTACTGAATATTTAGTTATTCACTTAATTAATTCTACGATCGTAAATATTTGTTGATTGTCTATTCCATTGCTTTAATGCGCTTTAATTAACTTTCTATTGAATAATTTTGCTTCATTTTGGTTTTTCCTTAATTCTAAGAAAAATCCATGTAAAATAAAATGTCAGTAATTGGGGTTAATAGACATTAATAGACTCAGAGAATGATCGCCCTTATGTTAAGAGAGGATGCTCGATTGGCATATCGTTCAGTAACCAAGCCCTTTGTAGCACATATTCCTGTATCTTGATAGGAGTGACTCTCATCAATCAGGGCGATGCCAAATGGATCTCATCTGCCCCCATTTCTGTCCTCAGTTCACCTTCTGACGAAAAGCCAATGTCTATTAATCCTATGTCCTAATAGTGAGTGGAACCAATCAAACTAGAATTAGGAAACGCCGTTAAAAGAAGAAAAATAGTGAAATATTACTTGGATTTTTTCTTCAATTGGTTGATTTCAAAAATCTTTATTGCCGTTCAAAGTTAAATATCGGAAAATTTTCAGAATAACAATATTTTGTAAACTGAGGGAGAATTTTTAATAAAAGTAATAAATTGCTACCCACATTTACCAAAATTTATGGCGAATACCATTCGACTAAACTGCGTCTTTTAAATTTTTAAATTATCTTAAAGCCCTTTTCAAAAAATTTTCTTTGAAAGATAATACAATTATTTTATTTTCTCCTTAATTTTTATTTAAGTTTGAAATGCTTTTCTTTCGTATTAATTTTCAAAACTTAGGTTATTTTTTATTATTGTTTATTGTTTGTTATTATCTGATACTATTATTACTATTGTTACTACTTTTGTTTAATTTATAATTTCTATCATTGAATGCCTTTGTTAACCAATTCCCTGCGCAAAATTTCATGTCACTGTCTTTGGCAGTAGTTGGAAGCAATTGTTGAAGAGTTTTATGCTCAAAAAAAATGAAATGTGAGAATTCCTAGGAAGATCGCTAAGAATGCTCGATTTATTTCTTCGTTTTCTAACCAATGCTGGTATGCTCGCTCATCGTTCTGCTGGCTTATCGGACCAAATTACTAGGGAGTCGGGAGCGATAGAAGTTACCTGATATTAACCGAAAATTTGCCTTGTTACGACTACATTTATATTGATGGGCATACTTTGTAGTAGTAGTAGTAATAGTAGTTAGTAGTAGTAATAATAATAAATAATAATAATAAAATAATAAAGTAATAATAATAACAACAATAATAACAATAAAATAATAATAATAAATAATGATAATGATAATAATAAAATAATAACAATAACAATAATAATGATAATAATAACAATAATAATAAAATAATAATAACAATAAAAATAAAATAATAATAGCAATAATAATAATGATTTTATTTATTTATTTATTGAAAACCAGCAAAGCAGGGCGCAAACGCCATGTGCAACAACAGTTAAAATTACAAATAATAAGAATTAATTACAAAAAATAGTAAATAAAATAAAATTTAAATATGAAATAAAGAGGAAATTACAAAATAATATAATATAGTACAATCCGAAATAACTATAATCGGATGGTAAAATTCGAGATTTCACACTTCCTGCATGAACTTTTTAAATAATATCATAAATGATATTATCTAATCTTTTTTTTAAATAGCTAGGGATGGCGTACAAGCCATATCATTCGGTAGTTTATACCAGTAATTAATATTACGAATAAAGAAATCAGAGTCCTTAGTTTAGTTTTACACATAGCTTTTAGTAATTTTAGCCCATTAGTTCTTGTTGAATCTAAATTTAACCTAAAATTATAATATTTTGAACAATCTAATTTTAACATAACCATAAAAAATCTTATAAGTATAAATTAAATTTTGTTTAATACGACGAACTGATAGAGAATCCAGGTTATATTGTAGAAGTTTTCCTTTATGATTAAAATTGCAATTAGAAATGAGGCATCGCATAAAATATTTTTGGAATCATTCAATTATTTTACTTGATTTACGATATAACGCGTAGTATTGTAGTCAAGAAGTGGCCGAACGAACGCTTTGTACATTTTGATAAAATCTTCAGGTTTCTTGAACGAAAGATAAATATCTTTGAGGATTTCTTTACCATGGTTCTGCAGTGAAATCGAGATTTTCATCCACGATCGGATGATCGGAAATGTGAGACTCTGCTGATTACCATTAATAATAAGATTAGGAGAATAGAAACCTTTAGAATTGATATGAAGAACGCTTTTGAAAGGAAAGGGTAATACCTGTCATATAGCCAGCTGGCTATTCTGTTGAAGTCCTTTTGCAGTAGAGATAGGATATCTGTTCTGAAAACCATGAGAATAAATTTTACAATCAATAAAAGCATAAAGATAAATTGTAGAATTTAGTACCACATTGGTGATATCATTTATATATAATAGAAAAAGCAATTGCGTAATAAAACTAATTTAATAATTTAATTTAATAATAATGATAATATAATAATAATAACAATAATATTAATAACAATAATAATAATGATAATAATAGTAATAATAATGATAATAATAATAGTAATGATAATAATAACAAATAATAATAAAAATAATAATAGACAATAATGATAATAATAATGATAATAAATATTAATAATTACCATATTACTATTATTAATTGTTATTGTCTGGTGTATTTTCATAATTTTCATCATTTTCATCATTCATCATTTGACTCAGAACCTCAGAATTAACTCAGAATAAATTGAAAACACTGGTCGAAATAATTTGTAACTTTTTATTTATCGACCAAATCAAAATTTCTGTTCAATAAATATTTCCTCTATTTGGTACCTATATTAACCTATATTTCTTCTTTTCGAGCAAGCCATAAAGGATTTTCGGATTTTTGATTATTTTTCGGGGTTTTCAGAAATTTTGAGCCGAACCGACTAATTATCTTTTTATATATTTCGAAATTCATTATAATTTCTACAAAACTTTTCGTCGAATAATATAGAAAGAATAACTTATAAAAAATTGTTTACTTTTTTAATTTACCATTTAACCGTGCAAAAATGATGAAAATTTATGGTTTCAGCTTTATTCATATTTTTTATATTAATTTCTTAGAACTGAAAGCAGTTTTGTTTCCTTAAATGATAGCTGTAATTCATCCATCTTTTCATTGCCGTATTCATTTATTTATCGTTTATTAAATGAATTTTAGAAAGATTTTAGGTGAAAATTGATTTAAATATTTTAAAATTACATATTTCTCTTTTTTTGAAAAATCCTCATTACTCATTATTTATGTTCAGTATTAGTTTCGCTCCACTAACTTTTCGAACGAGGCAGATTTTGCTAGAGATTCCCTTGGCGGCAGAAATACCATTGGGTAGCACCCACATTTTTGATTTAGGTTTGATTTACTCTTGCCGAGAGCGCGGTCCCAGTACACTTCGAAATAAGCATTGGCTCGTTTTATTTTTCTTACTTTTAATATAATTTGTGGAGAAATTCGATTTCGATTTTGACCGGTCGCTTAATTTGTAAAAAGCAATCCAAAATTTTTTCAAATTGTTATGATATTCTTTTAATAAGTATTTTTACTTGTTTTTTGGGTTTTCTTCGAATGAATATTTTTCCAAAATTCCTAGAAATTTGTAAATTTTGGTATATTTATTTAATCTTATTTTATATTGAAGTATTTTATATTCTTCATCATATGCAACTAGTTTCAATAATAATTTCAATAATTTATAAATTTTGAATTCATTCGCTTGAAATACTTTTGGTGAAATTTTGATACATTTGTGTTTTTCAACTGATTTGATCGGAAGCAGAATAAGTTGTGGCACCATCGGTTAGCTCTCGACGAGGCTAAAATTTAAATGGTGTTCATTGATCTGCTTAAGCTTTCTATCCTCAATTGACTCTCTGGCGAATGAACCTCATTCTAATGGTCAATGAGAACAATCGAATTGGAGAGACGATGAGAGTTAGAAGATGAAGATGGATAAATTTTGTTATTTTATCATTAATTTTATCACTCAATAATATGTTTTTTACCCTCGATGGTTATGGATCCAGAAGATAGAATTTTTTTCGATTCAGTCGCTGTCATGATCCAAGCGATACGAATTGTGGCTCAGTTTTGAAAGATTTAAATTGGAATTCATATTGTTCAACGCAAGTGAGTGAATCAAAAAGAGAAATTGTAACGATAATGCCTTGCTAAATAATAATTTTATCTCCGAATTTTTTGATTTAACCATAATTTTTATACAAATCGTGCGATGCATCGCTTATCACAGTTTTTAGTTTTTTTCGCTATGCTTTTTATTACTTCCATTAGTTAGGAATTGTTAATTTAGAGGAAATTATTTTATTTTTTCCAAATAAGTAACGAAATTATTACTTATCACCAAAAACCAATATAAATGAAATAATTTTAACATTGCGAGAATTTTGCAGAATTTGTGCACAATTTGATGTTTGTGCAATCTTCACCTTTCGCAGAGCTTTTCACTTTTATTTGTTTCACCTCGTTCCAGAACGGCATTCAGGTGTAATTAAGAAATCTTCAGAGATATGCTCCTTTGCACTTTTTTCAACTATATTTATTTTCCTTTTTCTTCTAACAACTCCCATTCTATTGATTTAATAAGCTATGCCGATTCCTAGGATGGTGATCCCTTCACAGAACCAGTTGTGTCAAAGATTCATGAAAGAAGGCATATATCTCAAAAAGCATCCACATTTCACCATTAAGAAGCAACAGGAGCCATAATAAAGGTTTGTCCGACCTCAAAAGGAATTAAACCTTGCATGACCTTACTTGAGATTAATCCTCGCGCCATCGCGCCACTCATCTTCTGTCCTCGAAAGTGATTGAACCCTTGTGACACAATGTGTAATATTAGGCAAAAAAATGTCTCAAATAAGAAAGAAAGATTGTTGGAAAGAATTATTGCTTGACTGATATTGCATGACTGGCAGCAATTTCGATAAGAATCACCAAAGAGCTAGCGAAATCTTCGCCGATTCCAGGAAATTCTCAAAATTGGTGAAAATTGGTTTCTTTTTTTTATTTAGAAAGCGCTAAAAACTATATTTGGCTATAAAATTTAGTAATAGATTTGTGGGGCTTCAATTCCTTGTAATTTCATTCCTTTTTTTGGAAAATTTAATTATTTGGAATTTGCTTTCGACAGAATTTTTTTCTATTTCAAAGCAGAAAATTCTATCGATTAGTTTTTCTCTCATTTTTATCACTTTCCTCTAATTTTTTATTCTCTTTAAGAATATTTTTGATAAAAAAGGGCAAATCGTCGATGTATCCCTGATTATAATAGAAGTTGGTCAAGTAATTGTTGCTCTATCAGATGCATTGCCTGCGGGGAGGTAAAGCTGTGCTTCTATCCTCAAATGATTCCCTAACAAAAATCTTGCCTCATCTTACCAAGAGCCAATTGAGCGAACATGAGCGAGGCAATTTTTTTCAAATTGTCTTATTAATTCAAAAATTCAAAATTCAAATTATTTATAATTATCGATTTTATATATTTTTTATATTTACTTTTGCATATTTTTTATATGTATATTTACAATAACTATTGCGGTATAATTTTTTTAAAATTGCTGTCTGAGCATAAATTGGGTTCTAAATACTTGATATTATAATAAATAATTCATAAAATCATCGATATAAATATTTTTCTTCTTTTTGCTTATTCTAATTTGATTGACTCTATAAACTGTAACGACTCCGGTGAAACTGCTTCGTCAAAGGAGTCATTCGGAGAGGGGAACGAAGTGCGATGAAGTGGGTCCCTCAGCAATGCGCAGCTATTACTGATAGCTCGAATCTAGGAATTTGTGATATTTGACGTCAAAACAATGTTGCTCATCCTGCTTTTATCCCTTTTGGAATCGTATTTATAGGATGAGAATTTTTCGTATTCGATGAAAAATTTTTTTTAAAAATGAAATTAGTCGAAAATGAGTTTTATTTTGGTGAAAATTGCGATTTTCAATTTTTCATTTTTACTTTTTGCTTTAATTGCGAATCTCGTCATACACTGCACTGCACTGTTTTTTCTTGCGTCTATCTTTAGGCAATTCGACGAGAAATATTTTTTCCACCGTAATTTCTTCTGCCCTTCAGATATGATTTACGGATTTGGTGGAATATTTTTTTCATTAATTTTTCTGGCAAAAGCTATTTCAAATGAGGTAAAAATTGTGGAATTTTTATTTGATCATAGAAAACAATTTTAAGCACTCCACTTTTAATATTTTGGATTTATCTTTTTATATTCTATTTCTACTTTTTTAACATTTGTTTGTTTAATTTGTTCTAATTTGTTTTAATTTCAATTTGTTTTTTAAGTAATTAGAAATTTTTAAAAAAAATTAAATTTCAGCGAAAATATTGCGAGGATTTTTTGATTTGTTCGCATAAACTTGAACTTAAAGAGAGAGAATGTTTACGCTTGGAAAATCACTGGAAAAATGAGAACAAAGAATCGTGTTTGACTAAGATTCATAGCATCAAAAAGGCGATACGCGGCTTGCATTTAAGAAGAACTGAATTGCAAAAAGATTGCGTTGCAAAACACGATTTCGTCGAAAATATCAAAGATCCGAACCAGGCAAAATAGAGTTTCTCTTTGCAAAAATTAATTAGACGAAGTTTCTAGGATAATATATCTCTTCTCAGAGAGCCACTGCTGGATTCCATTTGCAAAAATAGGTTTTCTCCCGCGAAAGATCGAGTTCGCATTTGGCATTTGACCTTAGATAAACTAATGAACCACTCACCACCTTAGGATGAATTTATTTATTGCCTATAAAAATGTCTAGAAAAAGAAATAATTCTAAAATAGGCTCCGTACCCTTTTTGTTCTTAGGAATAGAGTTGGCCATTAAAAGAGAAATTTGGGTGCTGTTGATGGCCTATACGCTTTAATCTCCAAGCGACTCTCCAGTTGTCATCCTAGAAGTTAGTAGAATCAGCTAATCCTTAGCAGAAAGTATAATAATGCTAATTCATTTTATCACAATTATAAAGAAAATTATGAGACACGGCCTTCAGTTGTCAGTTTCAATTATTTAATTATTTTCTTCACAATTTTTTTCATTTTAATTTTTCTTGTCGATTTTAACTCAATTTTTTCGATATTTAAACGGAAAGTTTCACTTAATCTTTTAAATTAAAACGAAAGAAACCATCTTTTAAGGAACGAAAGTGTATAAAACTAGATAAATTATTTATAAATAATAACATATGGAAGAAAAAACAAAAAAGAAGACGCACGTTGAGGAAAAGAGATTTAAAAAGGGAAATTTGCCATCAGGAGACGAAGATTTGGCATAAATTCTGTACGAAATTATCAAAATGTTGCTCAGCATTTAATAAGTTAGTTTCACGACAAACTGCCATGTTACGCTGTTCTATTGTATGAGAAAGAATGTTCGATAAGATCGACCATTAAAGCGATTTATTTCTATTTGTTTTTTAAGATCTCTTACAGCAAAAACCAAGGAAGTTAGTTAACTGTGTACCCTAATCCTGAGAATATTTTTCAGATGTTTACCAGTGACTTTCGGAATTCAACAACAAATTAGGAATGAAAAACGCCGCCTTGAAAATGCTCGTGAAAAATGCATGGATACGTTGAAATGGTTTTGATAAAAATTTGGACTTTCAGAATTCTTTCTGAAATTTAAGAATTTTTAAAATTCTAAAATTCACTGAATCCATTTCTTCAGAGTTCAATAACTGACTATTTTAACTTTGTTGTACAGCTAAAAATACTTTTAAATTATTTAAAAAGAAAGTAAATAAAACTGAAAATTGTTTTATGAACATAAAGAGTGTTGAAAAAACACAAACATCTTTTGCAACAGCAATGCAATGCTGTCGGTCGATGTTTTGTTGATAAATAGCAACAAAATTTCAGATATTTGCTTAAAAAGTTAGAGTTAAACTATATTTCGTTCCACGAGTTTAAATAAAAATATATGCGAAAAAACTCATCTTCGAGTTCGAATTCATAATTTCCTACTTTCACTAGCAAAAAATACCCAAAAAATTTTCTTTACTAATTTCAAAGGAATTGAAATAAAAAAACCTAAATTCGATAAAAAACCGTATTAAACCTTTTAGCTTAAAGCTTTATGATTGTTTTCTCGAATTTTTTCAAATTTTTCTTTATGATTTTTATTTCCGGATAATTTAATATTCCGAACCAGTATCGTGTAATAGTTTCAGTAAATTTTGACGGAGCAGCCGAAGATTGATAAATATTCTACTATCGTTTAGGTGATAATAATACGATTCGTAAATTATAAATGGAAAAATAAAGACACAATTAAGAGGTTCTCCCAATATACAATGTTAGAAATATATTATTATTATTTCATTAAGAGGATTTTCATCGAAACTTTTACAGGCCATATAACAAAACACATTTAAATTTTAGCAGAAACCTATAAAAATAATATAAAATATACAACAACTAAGAGTGGTTTCTGCAGTTTCTGTCATAAATTATATGTTATGCTTAATGATTTAATTCCTTTTCATTCCATGCTTATAAGAAAAATGAGTAAAAAAAAGTGGAATCACCACTAATATTTTTAACTGAAAATTCAAAAGAAACCAATCTCTGATTGTTGTTTCTTAATATCAATGCAACTTATCACGTAACTCGCACAGTTACCACCAATTTTTATACATCATCATTCCTACACCATCATTTTTTTCTGGTATCAAAAACAGTAAATTATCCTCTTGTTCCAAGCAAATTTACAAATTTCTTCTTTCATTTTGAATATTCTTTTCACTGTTAGAAACATTTTGCTGATATTCAGTTGTAGTGATATAACCCGTATCGGAATCATCACTTTTCAATAATGTCGTTGAAACAAAATCAAGCGAACCTGAAGTAGATGACGATTGATTATGAGTGCGTGGAATTTCTGCATCAAAAGATTCATTGGCACCGAAATTCTTTGAATGATCAACCAACTTCAACTGGTTGATTCGTTTTTTAAGCTCGTCGGGAGATATTAGTGATGGAGGAGTTGAAAAAAGATTCTGACTGCGAGGGTGTACATTGAAATGTTTTTGAGATGGAACTGTATGCTGATCGATAGTTTTACAAACATATTGATTTGATGTAGATGGTCGGTTTAACATTGGAACCATCTGATGAGAATTAGTTGTTACTGGTGCACTTGGATGAAATGGCGGACAATGATTCACAATAAGCGATGAATTTGATGTACCAAAGAGATTGTTCGCAAAGTGGTCAAATTGACGATGTTCTGTAAGATCTACAAGATTACCTCGAGTTGAATATATTGAATGAGCTGAAGCTGGCTGGCAGATATTCGAAGGTAGAAGATGTGAACTCGGAGTCGAGTTATTTAATAAAAACTTTCCATCGGATATAACTTGATTTCCACGTTCATACAGCTGAAATTTCAGAAATTTGATAAGCAAATTTTATTCGTTATTCACTTAAATTCGTTATAAATTTCACAGAATTAGATAAAACTTTGCAAAATCCAAGGATAACAAATTATTGCACAAGACAGGAGGTAAAAAAAATCGGAACTGGATCTGAATCAAACACAAATACCTCAATTTTCTTTCTTCAAATTCATGAAAATTAAGCAAAGTTCTCAATTTCGAAATAAAATAGGTATACGTACAGCCAATTTTGTTTGCAAGTCCGCTATTATCTGCATGTGTTTTTGATCATTAATTTTTCTAAGCCTTTGTTCTTTCTTGTTATCGCGTTTTAACCGCTCAATTTCTTCAATCATATTTCTCTCGTTCGTCAATCTGAGATCTCGTTCCGATCTTAATCTCTCTTTGAATTCTTTTAATTTTGTACGATTTTCAAATAGTCGCTTTTCCAGATCCTTTGAAAAAGAATACAATTTTTAATTTGAACTCTTCAGCAAATGAAAGGACTTGAAAAGTTCTTTGATGAAGAAATGTTTTTCAAGTTAATATCATTTTTAGTTAATATCATACATGCAATAACTGTATAATAACAAGTAACTTTGAAAACCTTGTGTTATATATATATATATATATACATATAAATCTCTTTGTGGGTGATATGAATTCACCCTCAATCTCAGGTCCTTTACCAAATAACTGGGAGACTGAAGCAAAGTATACAAACTTTCGGAGGGTCTTGTCCAAGGACTTCACTGGAAAAGTATAAGGGATTGGCTTCGATTCGAACTGCTACTGTTACACTCCACATTAATCGTCCTTATCATTATGTTATTCTGGCTCTATGATATAGTTGTTGGACTCCGGTCAGTGATTCCTTCTCTTAAGAGACTTTTACATGCTTATTAATTAATTTCACTACTATGGTCAATAAAAGTTATTTGCATTTAGGGTAGATGGAAGAAAGTGATAAAAAAAGTTAAGGTGAAAACATCAGAAAGTAGAAGCATTAGCTGAAAAATTATAACCAGGCCTTTAAGGATGGAACTTAAAATATATCTTACTTTGATACGGAAGCTTCTCTCATCTTCGACCAGCCATGAGTCAGAATCCGAATCATCTAGATTCGGATTATAAGCTGCATAATGGTTAGTTGGTGATGGATCGTCACTACCATATTCAGAAGTTATGAACTGATTTCGACGAATTTTTTTTTGCTCACGATTACGATTCTGAACTAAAGGTTCTGAATTCACCACATCAGTAGATGACATTTTCGGTTGTTGTAGAATATAAAAAATTGATCGAGATGTTTTTTATTAATTTCTATAAAATTGGGGAGGGACGTCTTAAATATATTTGGAGCTATACTGGTTGCTTTTGGTTTATCTCCTTTTGTTTTGTTGTCAATCCAGAAAAGACTTTTGAATCAATATCAGTGAACATGAACATGAATTAAGCAAAGTATAGGAACCAATTCTATATTAATGCAACAAAATTTTTAGGAAACATAATGAAATATAATGAAAAACTTACGTGTCTAACTGGATGAAAATCGGACATAAAAGATCTACTATCGTAATGTAAACGATCAAAATCATGTGCAAAACCACCGGGACAAGATCTAGGAGCTCGATAAGACCGAGGCAATGTGGAATAGTAATATGGAGCTGAAACAGCTCGAAAATCGTCTTGGTTTGCTCTACGTCGTTGTCGAGATTCTCGACGGCTGCTAACTTCAGACTGAAAACGAGATCTTCTGCCGACAAAAAGTATAGATTTATAATGATAATTTAGCGAATTGATCAGTATTAATGAAAATGATTTCATAATCATTAAGAACTTATTTTAATGTTAAAAGCTTTTAAAATTTTAATTAAGCATTGAAAATTTGTCTTCAATTTGGTTTTTCATAATTTGTTTTAAATCGGAAAAAAAGTTTCAAGAATTCAGTTCTTCAATATGTGCTTTGCTTCGCCTTTTTCTAGATAGGAAAAAGAACCATTTTTGGACGGAATTATTATGGCGATTGAAAAATGTTAATCTTATGACAGTCGTAAACACCAGTGGTTATCAGCTGGAAAAACATCGCCACCTATTGCACCAAACTGATGGCAGAAAATGCTATTGAGTGGAAAAAAGAAAATATTTCATTGTAGCTCCTCAAAAAAATATATGGATAAAAATATATAAATATATTTTTATATAAATATATATAAAATATAAATATAAAAATAATAAATAAATAAAAATATGATATAATATATAAAATAAAAATATAAAAATATATGAAAATATAAAATATATAAATATAAAGATCAAATGGTCGAAAGATCAAACAGCTTGGGAAATTTTATCTCATTCGCCTTTATAGCTCTATTCTGAAAACCATTTGTTTAATCCATCACTTTGCTGAAAAAAAGTTTCTTTCCTTTGAAGACGTGAAAAATAACCTCGAAAAATATTTCGAGTCCAGGTTACATAAGAAAAAAAAGAAAAAAAAATCTATAAATCGATTTCTAAATGGAAGAACTTAAAGAACGTGATGAATATACAAATGACTAATACTGTAATTTTCTTGATTTGATATCCCTTTACTACTTGATATCACTTGATAATTTAAAATTTTGGCACAAATAAATTTGAATAATCTTAAGGAGATATTTATTCACTCACCTTGTCTATAAAATAATTTATATATGCCCGGAAGTAAATTCATCCTCCAAAATCGGTCAAGAATTTTTGTCAAAAAATTCTTCCCAATCTCATTTAGCATTTACTATCCTTTTTTTTTTTAAGAGTCCTCACCATTACTAGACAAACTCGCTCCACTGGCTTGTCGCATTGAGCAACATGCCAGGGAGTCCCTTGGCGATAGAAATACAGGTGAGTCGCCAGTATCACCCGGATTTTTGTACAGGATTTTACTCCTGCAGGAAATTTACTATCCTCTAAATCCAGTTATTCTTTAAAGAAGCCTTATTATATCGTTTCATATTGGATGATGGCAATATTGGTTTTCGTCATCTATTACATTTGGTTTCTGTCATCCTTCAAACCTTTCTTCTTAAACATTTCACTTGAGAACTTGTTCATCATCATTCCTCAAAGCCTTTCTAGGTTTACCTAATGCTCCACTAAATCTAAATAATGCTGTTTTGCCAAACCTCATCAGGAGTATTACTTTAAAGCTTCTTATATTAAATTTCATCCCTTTTAAACCATTGTAGCCCTCTGTAAAGTTCTAAAGTTATAATTCTCCATACCTCTGAAATCCCTTTAATAGCCCGTTGAATTTTAACGAGTTCTTTTCAAAACCAGTGACAGATATATCCCTAAATTTCAATATATGTTCGTGCTCTTACGATTGCGTCAATCCCATTATAGTGTCTTAGCATACCGTTGTATTAAAATCACGGTACAAAACTCCATGTAATTTATTTAATGAATCTTCGACAATCTTTGAAAAAAAAGAATTTTGAGAAAGGAAAAAAGTAATATTTCTATGCAATACTTCCAAAAGATCATCGCATGAACTACGAAGAACTCGATTACTTCATTTTCAAGATTCAGAAAAAGATTCCAAGCTGGTCGGGTTTCTCGGGTTCTGAGGAGATTCTTAACGATTCTAATCAAAGGTTCCGTTCAAATTCCCTAAACGCAGTGAAGTCGAGCGAAACTTGGAAAATTCGAAACTGTTGGTTATTTTTAAAACTAAATTGGCGAAATTTCGAGCAAAAATTATTTAAAAAATTCAAATACGAATGATTTAAAGGATATTTTCGGTAGTGTTTTTAAATTTCAATAAAATAAAAAAGCGATTATTTAATAAATTATCGAAAATGCAAAACGAGTGCAAATGCTAACTGCCAACCTCTCGCGAATTTTTGTTTTCCTTTTTACTTTTTGATTTAAAAAGACTTTTAAATATTGCTGCCATCACTGTTTTCTGAACAAAACAAAATGTGAATTCTCGGAGATTTCGTCGTTGATAATTTCGAAAAAAAATATTCACTCCTGAAAAATTCCTATTTCAATAAAAAACAAATGATTTAAAACGCGAGAATTTTTCACTGATTAAAACAAATTCCACGATAATCTTGGAAATAAATCGTGAACGCCTCGATAGGTGAAAAATTAGGAAAAAATATTTGTTGGAAAGTCTTTATTATTAAGAAGAGAATTAACAAAGAAATAATGAAAAAAGGCAATAAAACGGAATTAATTTAAATTTCGCTTTAATCAGAAATCAGAAGGTTTAATTAATTTAATTTAACTTAATTACTGTTTGAAAATAAAGCAAATTAAGCTAAAGGAAGAATGGAAATCGCAGTCCAAAGCAAACCTAGAAGAAAATTTTGATGAATTTTCGAATTAAATACATCTATTTGCATCGATTTCCCATTAAGCGAACTTCTTCCTCGAATCATTGGAACTTGCACATCGATGGAATTGGACTTACGTTAACTAAATTCATTTTTCAAAATAATCCGATATTCGCCAAAATATTTTAGACAAATCAGCTGTAAGAAACTGGCAGAAAAAAAACCACAAAATACCGGAAAGATGAAGGGAAAAACGCTTAAAAATGCAGAAGGCTGTTGCTACCATTTCAGAGCACTGATGCTATTCCAGAATTCTGTTCCTCGGAAGAGAAGCACGTCCCCCTCCCCGAGTGGCGCCAGGGTGGTGCTCGCGAGCCATCTCTGCTCTGTTCCCGCACGATTCCCTTCCCTCGTGCCGGCGACAAGTCTGTGTCCACAAATGCTGGGCGCATTGAAGAATTGGAGAAATGAAGAATACACCAAGTAAAGCGAAAATAATTGGTCGAAATAGACGAAGGAGAGAAAAGAAAAGAAATAATTAGCAGTAAACTCAAAACGCAAATCCACGAAAGAGAAAGGAACTCATTTGAAATAAACCGAATTCGAGCGAAAAGATAAGTTATTCGCTAATTGTCTTGAAAACGAGAAAAACTATGGAAAAAATTGTTGAAATTGGCAAAATAAAAGAAAAATTCGAAGAGAGTAAATTGCGAAGAACGATCGAAGAGAAAATAAATCAATGGCGGTGATTTTTAAATGGCTAATCAAGCGGCAAAATTCTTTGATGAGTTGACCCCTGAGAAGGGAAAACGGAAAAAGGCATATTGGAGGGAAAAGAGAACAATCCATTTTGAGGAACGATCAATCTGTTAGTTATGAAACACGTGAAGTGGAACCGAGGGCCCACGCCTTAGGCGACTCCTGAGAAGCAGTGGTGCTGCATTACACCAAAATATTAGAAATATAATTTTATGAAAAATAATTTCCTTTTTTGTTATTTTGTTTCGAAAATTTACCAGTGTTTCTTCCTATTTCTATGCGTTTTTCTTTCAATTTTCGAATTACATTTCAGCATCATTAATTTCCTTATTATAAGTAAAGAGAGGACCGTTTTTTTCAGTGGTAAAATATTTTCAGAAGATTCAAGAGGAATTGCAGCTTAGAAAGTGGAGAGGAAGGTCGGTAACACGTTGCAGCTTAGAAAGTGGAGAGGAAGGTCGGTAACACGCACATTCGCTGAAAATTTGATTTAACAGTAACACCAGCGCTGATCGAATCAAATCAGTGCGGATTAATAACTCGAATAATTCAAATTAGGCACAAATTCGAATTATTATCGGATGGTAAAACGAACTGAAAAGAACTGAAGGGATTTCGAATCAACCGATAACATTCGGTTCATTCGGTTCATTGTTCGATGATGATCGAGTCGGTTTTATTTCTCTCATTTCTGCAAGAAAGAAACTCGATTCCTCCTAATTCCTAAAAATGTGTCTGCTTGCTAATGTATTGGTTACGAGGAAGAAAAGAATTTTTAAATCCTCCAAATTCTTCCTAGAAATCCGTCATCGACGAGGAGATTATCCATATTCTTCACAGCGTCTCTCCTAAATTAAAATGCCGAAAATTTTGAAGGATGGCTTTACGCCAATTACGAATTGCCTTAGTTTTAAATGGTATTTTATAAAATGAAGCACTGCATTTTAAACAGTCTTTTAAATAACGTTATATATTTTATTTTGGAGAATTCTGAGTAATAAAAAATGTAATTTAATAAACGAATCAACTGAATACCAACCACTCTAGAATTACTAAACGATTACGATTAATAATAACGATATCGCAAAACTTAAAAACCAATTTCCATCAGACTTTCCGTAAAAAATCCATAAAATCTATAAGCATCGAAAAAAGAAAAATCGGTAGGGCAGAATAAAGAAAGGGAGATGGGACGTGTTCCGCATATCTGCTTATTCGTTTCGAATAGCTCACAAATAACAATAAATGTTTAAACGCTCGAAGAGACAAAAACATTAAATTAACCAGTCAGATATAAAAACTATCATCGTTATCATATCAACTTTCATCGTAAGAATTAAGAATAACGAATTCCGCGAAAATTTTTCGATGAAGTAGGAGGCTATTTATCGAAAAACATTTCTTAATTTTTAAAGGTCTGCAAAAAGCAAAAGAAGTCAAAAAAATTAAAAAAAATTTAAAAATTTAGAAAGCATTTCCAAATTTTTAAAAAATCTTTTATTAGAGAAAAAATTCATAAAAAATTTACAATTTTTATAATAAAAAAAATTTAGTCAAATTAGAAGCAGTAAAAATAAAAAACACTTGACAATTTCTAAAATTTTTACATGAAATTTGAAGACTCCGAGCATTTTGAAGAAAGCTTGAAAAGCACAACAAGAAAACCACAGCATATATGATATGATATGATAACGAAGGTGTGAGAACATCGTCATCTTACAATTTGTCGCTGCATTTTCGCAAATG